CAAAAGGCTTATTATTATATGGGTTAAAAGTTTTTTTAGGATTATCAATACCATGCAAGTTTCCTTGGTTCCCATGATACTACAAGATGACACTACAAGTATAACCATAATAATCATTAATCAAAGTACTATTGATCTGCCTGTGTGATAACATTTTGTTGCAGATGCTGAACGCCGAACACCAACCGCCAAGCATCGTTCACAAAAAAAGTTGGAGACAAATGTCTCTACTTGTGGTGGTGACATAGATATAAGACCCCAAACCCATCCCAAACAGTTCCTAGATCTATAATGGAGATAAAACCTTAGTTGAATATTCAAATTGAACCAGTAAAACAGATGTAAATTAGGTTCCCTTCTTGAAGTTTCACAAGATCATGAAGCCTGAACAGTTGATTTCACTCTTTATCAAAAATCATGGATGATTGCTGTTGGATAGGAATGAAATGAATAAAAAAAACTAGCCTATTGAATGTCTGTGCGAATGGTATCAAATAATTTAGAATTCTCAAAGTTGCTTTTCCACTTACTTAGTAACCTATGGCGGATCCGGGGGGGGGCATGGGGCCAGCCCCCCCCCCCTAAGTTGGGACCAGAAAAAAGAAAAATTGGGCTCAAAAAATTTTGGGCCAAAAAAGGCCTTCAGGCACCAAAAAGTGGGCCTTTTTGGTCATTACTAGGCATTCTAAGGTCTTATTTTTTTAATTTCAGGCCAAATTTTGAAGAAAATGGGCCTAAAGTTTTCAAAATTTGGGCCCACTTTTCGGTTTTAGGGGCCCAAAATTATTTTCCGCGCAAGCGCGGAAGTTTTTTTCTAAGTTTTTTTCACTGGTAACTCACTTTAATCCATAATCACATATCAATACAGGCTCATTTCCTCTGGCCACCATACCATTGCAATGTAATGACGGGAAATGGTCGCTGGATTAAGTAATCAAACGTCCCAATTAGTTGAGCGTTTGTTTTTGTTGAATGTTACTAGAAAACAAGGCGTAATTCTGATTTTGATATTATTGCAATGCACATAAAGCATAGTTCTATGCATGTGAGGAATCTACATGCATAGTTCATTTGATAGAGGGAAGGGGTGGCGTAAACAATTTCTGACTGCCAAGTAATAGAAACGGATCAGGCCCAAGGGGGGGGGGGTAAAACCACACCCCCTTGAAGAAAAGTTTCTGACGGGGCTGAGCCCCCCCCCCCTCGGCAAAAGCAGATTATGAATAATGTAGCCAGTCCATGTTAGTTTCTCGGAGATATCTTTGAAGAATTCCCAACTTATCAAGACAGATAACAATATTAAATGTAGATGGCAAAATAAACGCGTAAAATAAACCCATCATGCATGTGACTTGTCAACGAAATAAAAACAAAGAAACAAACATAAAAACCTATGCTCATTAATTAAGGGGAAAATCAGATTTAGCAAGCAAACTCCGAGACTTAACAAGAATTTTTGAATATTTTTTGCTTATATCATTCCGATCCTTGTCATGTTTATTTTTAAAAATTTGAAAGGAATAATTGATCGGTTAGTTGTCACTTGTACATTTTGCTTGCAATTTGTCACCCCTATTACACTGGCGGATATGGGGGGAGGGGGGGCCCAGGGGCCCGGGCCCCCCCCCCCTCGAGTGGGCCCAGAAAAAAAAAATTGGGCCCAAAAAAATTTTTGAGCAAAAAAAGGCCTTGTCGCCCCAAAAAGTGGGTCTTTTTGGTCATAAATGGGCCTTCTAAGGCCTTATTTTTTCATTTTAGGCCAAATTTTGAAGAAAATGGGCCTCATTTTATTCTCAGACCAGAAGTTTGGGCCCCCCCCCCCCCTTGTTGGTTCCCAGATCCGCCCCTGTATTAAAAGATCTGGTTCTGCCTTTATCAGTCAAATTTCATAGTTGTCAAATAAAAAATCCCCTTGGCAAGAAGGCCGCAGCTTGTACTTTAAAGAAAGTAGTCGGTCCATGATAGTGTCTGGGAGTTGTCTCTGAAGAATTCTCAACATATCAAGATACGGCTGATAATATAAAATGTAGATGGCAAAATAAAACGGCATGCCCCTCTAAACATATGCTCATTAATTAATATGGTTACAAGCAAAAAAGGATATAAAAAGGATATATAAAAGGATTTAAATGGTTGCAACGCATTATCTATTTTAACAGAAATCAAGATAGTAACTCATGCAACAAAACGGAAAATGGTTTAGAAAATAAATCAATGAGATCAACGTTATACAATGATGGAAACAAATCAGATAGTAAAAAATCTTATTCTAATTTAATTCCTAAATCAAGTCTCAACCCTCCAGACACTGGTGACATTTGAACGCATTTTATCTAATTTAAATTAGAATTCAAATTAGACTTTATCTAATTTAAACAATCAAATCAAATCAAAAGTAAAACATGCAAACAGGTATAACTGCTTATTTGATCTAATATCCGAGGAAATGTGCGTCCGGGGTGTGTGACGCTTATTACCAGTCCTACATCGCCGCTGAACACCCTGAAAAGAAATCTGCTTATGATAAGTTATTCTTTTTATACCATGGTCAGAGCAATATCTCAGTATTCAATAGCAAGTGATAAATCATATATTTAGAATATGGATGATATTGGGATTAGAGGGATGATATGGATATCAACCCGGGTATTTAAAAAAATTTCATTTTTCAAAAACAAATTTTTTAATTTTTTCAAACATTTTCTCTCATTCAAAAGAGGATTTTAGATATATTTTGCTCTTGATCATGGTATAAGGTCGTTATTCACCTGTCGGGATGATATTGAGAATATCCCTCGGATGATATCAATATTTCCCTCTGTCACTGCGTTCCCTCGGGATATATTCATATCATGTGATATTCCCCATATGAAATCCCTCCTGGTGATTAACTTCTTTGTATATACTTTCAACTAAAACAATGAAACAGAAACACAATGCATGCCAAACATTATCTATTGTTATATTATGGTTATTTCATAGTTTGCACTTGTATTCAGCAACTGTGTTTCTCAAACCAAATATGGGATAAACCTTTTTAGGGTTATCACGTCAGACTTAACACGTCGCTTGAGGCAAGATGCATAAACTATATAATTCCACGGCTATAACTTGAAGAACGCCATTGTTGTGTCTGTACCCCTTTCGGATGGGCCGTATATTGTTCTTGTGTGTATCCTACCCACGGGAACCTACAAAACAGAAAAATATATAATTACATTATCAAAAGGGGAAGTCCCGTCTATATAAATCCCTAGATTGAAGTCGTTGAAACATCCCCATATTCTGATATTTGCAACAAAAGAATGGTAAACCAAAGTCAGTAGTAGTTGTACCTTATGCATGAATTGTAGCTTTTGGGAAAGATGATAAAACGCAAAATATAATTTAAATACTTGGTGAAGACAGGCATTCATGATCTAACAAGAAATTTAGGGAAGGCGTTGATTATAATTAAACGTAAATGCAAAAGTTGACCATTGCATCTCGGTGGTTATCATGACAAATGAATGTTCATTCGAAGACTTCATTTTGCAAATTTGACCCAAAATCACACGAAAAATGGTCAGAATTATGAAAAACTGCATGATTTTGAAAGAGTTTTTGGCCAGGGGGGGGGGGTTGCCTAAAATAAGTGAAACTTTGAGAACCCACGGGAGTACATGTAATTACTCACTGTAGAAGTTAAATGCACGCGAGGAAATGTTTTTTTATTTGTGATACTCCCTAGATTTGCTTGTTGTGAATCAATAGAGTAAGAACGATACGTTTTGGATGTAAATAATATTAAAAGTTATTGAATGATTTGAAGTGCAATATAGGATATATTCTGCTCGAGAAATTCCGTATTGGAACGAGACGAAGTCGAGTGCCAATACAGAATATCGAGACAGAATATCATAATGTAGTTATTAAATTCACACGTTTGGTGTATTTGATATTGCCGAAATTATGTACAAGGGGTCTGTTGCAATTTCACAATTTCAAGCTGTAATCGGCCCTTGTGCCCGGGAGTAGAAATAAACTATATCTATGACAACATATTTCATGTCACTAAATTTAAACCCCTTATTTATGGAAAATACTTTACATTGTTCTTACTATGGATGTTATATAGGATTTAATTCGAATTTGAAATCCGGAATTTTTAGTACTTTAAAAAGATGAATTAAATATGGATGTTCTTTGTACAGTTTGTGCATTTACAGGATGTTGTGTACGTAGAAACAGAGAGGCTAGCTACATGTACACGTATTTTAGAGAACTTGTACGTGAACCCTGTCCCTCCCTCAATTTATTTTTTTTACCATTGGGAAGCTATCGTTCCGAGCTAAACCATAGTGTTATTTATTAAGAATTCCGACGACAAATTGCAGAATTATAGACCGATTAATGCAGTTTCTCAAATGGCTTGTTTAGAGCCAGAAAAGTGGATTCAGACTGCAACATGGTTGCTATATTGCTCTGGGTTTCGTCAGAGCCGACCGCCCGTGTATGATGTAGTATTGAAGGCCGGAGTGCAACTAGAGCACGGGTATTTAAAATGTATTCCCAACCTCCCAAAAAGGTTAATTCATCAAAACTACTCCGGGACTGTACACACGCGCACGAAACTACTGTAAGAAGAATAGGCGTAACATTCCTGTCGACTTATTAATAAACGTAATTTTTAAAGAAAAATTAAATCACCGAAAAGCGTATACAACTGCTTCAAATGTTTGTACATGTGTGCCACTGGACCAATGTGAAATGGAATGATCCGTAATCACTTTAATTGTATTCTATTTAGACGAATCAAATATTCATTGAAACTGAGAAAAACGCAACACTAGAATCTTGTCTGAAAGTTGAGTTAATATAGTCTCTACTACATATGTAAATGAAAAATAATGTAGGTTTAGTTTAATTAATATGCGTATGCAATCGTTGAGCGAAGGCAACACTGGCGTTAAGCTATGTAAGCACGAACGGTTCGCGGGTTAAGTCCTGTCGCAAAGCAAGGTAAACGCGAGGTAGTCACACACGCGAAGCGACCGCGCCGCTCAAGTAAAACAAGGGTATCGCACTTGCACGGCAAAGGAGTGTACGGCGGACGGCAAAGTGACACTTTCGTTAATAGATGAACTGTATTTCTTTATCATGTATTGTAATGACTTTAGTATGAACGAAATTTCCTTTGTGTTCTGGTCTTCTGGAATTGTCCTATTGGTTCTTGAATGGTGAGGAGACATTGGGTATTAGGAATTGTAACTTTTCACGTTAGATCATATTTTGCGATATATGGGTTTTGTTCTAATAAAGTAACATGAACAGTAAGTAAACGGCCTAAAAGTTTATTTCCTATACTCCAAGTAAAAATTCAATCCAAGCACAATATTTTACATATTTCCCTACGTTGGGTCGTGATCGTTGATAAAAACTGTTCTAAAGATGATATTCTGAGATGATAATCAAGAAGAGACGGAAAGTATAGAAAGTTCCACAGGGAAGATTCCAAAAAGGAGGCGATTAATAATTTCCCATAATTACCAAATAAATGAACCAATAATGAACATTACAAATTAAAGATAATGTCATATTAAATCTACTGGACTTCCTAAACCTCCTTTAAATGGAGGCAAATGCTGATTCCCATGAGGAACCAACATTTGAACCAATAGAAAGCCAAGTAGATTATGTAATACACTAGAATATCCTGAACTAAAAAATCCTCCTTTATGGGAATTGGAACTTTCCTGATAGAAAAGACATAACAATATGAAAAGAGCCACGATTTTAATGTTATTTATGAATAATATCACGTATTGAGTGCAAGTGAATAAAGAATAGAAATGATGTACATCAAATGTATAGAACAATAACATATATCTTGAAACCTAAATCAATGTGATATAAAAATGAAGTTTGTTTAATGTATATGAAAACCTAAACCCTGTTTCAACACACCTGGAGTTTGCTTTTTCTTGCAATTGCTATCTTCAATTATGACGTTTGCTTTTCCCTTTCGCAATTGTACTTAGATATTTACATGATGTTGTGATTTCTAGTACATTATTCAAGATGATAATTAAGTTATGACAAACTTTTATACTCAGCCTTTGTACCATTTTGGGATACACACTAAATGTAGTCTTTTTGTATTTGTCTATATTATAGCTTAAAGCCATACAGACGTTTTTTCTATATTTTAAAACCCCAAAAAGTAATAAATATGACACTGTGCTATATGCTATGAGATAAAGAAAATATATCGTGGCTCAGAAATAAAGAAAAACAAATAAAGAAAAATAATAAAAAGACTTGGCATGGCCGGGATTTGAACCTTCAAAAGCATGGTTAGAAGTCTAAGGCTCTAACCACTCTTATTCTTCTAGACTTATGGGATGCTATCTTTAATATGCATTGTTAATTTTATTAAAAAGTTTTCCCACTACAGCAAAATAATTTAAAAAAATAGTCCATGATCATGCTAATAATATTAGAATACATATCTGAGTAAATATTCTAATCAAAATTCAATATTAATGATGTTAATCCAGTTTTCATTTTGAAAATCTAGTTCTTGTCATGATTGTAAAAAACATGAGCCCATTTCATAGAAAGGTAAGACTATTTTCTTCAAAAGTATTCCTTGAAATTCCAAATTTCAGTCTCTAAAGTCTTTGAAAGTCAATTTAACAATTATTATTTCGATTATCATATAATAACGTATACATCTTCTTTTTTAAATGTAGTCTAGATGTAGTTTAAAATAACTTCTGTTACACTGCAACCTATTCCTCTAGGTGTCTAGCTGATTGGTTTTATAGTGTATATTACATAACAAATATGAAGAAAATTGAATTGAACTGAGCAAAACATGCATACCTCCGGTGGTGTTATATCAATGATAAAGCCATTAGATACGCCCTCCAACGTGTTACTCTTTCCTGTTCTTCCTCTAACTGTCACATGGAATCTCTGTGCATGTGATAGGTGAACAGGACCATGGACTGTTCCAGAATAGTTCGTTTTTACACCTGTATCCGTTTCATCATCACTATCTAATATAATTCCTTTTGTAGAAAATGGACGAACATCATCTAATCCATGACCCGTCCCAACTGCCCATTCAAACCTAGTGTATCCTTCAAATAAGCAAATTAATAGTAATAGTCACAGTCACCACCCTGATACTGATAATATCATCATTTTTCAAGAGATAGATGGTGCTGCTTTTGGTGAATTCTAATTAACATTTCGGAGATGCACTAAAATACTTTTTCTCAGCAAATACTCAACCAATGGCCAAAATTCTTAAACTAAGTCAAAGCCAGGGGTATTATCTAGGATGTTTATATTGCAAAACTATTATTTATTCAGTATTGTAGGTCATAGACTGTGTTTTTGTCACCCCTCCCTTTTTTGAAATCTCAGTTTCAATTTTTGACTAAATTACCTCCATATCTAGAATAGGTATTTACTCACGGTACAATATATCTATCACATTTATTACCCTTTTCTTGTTAACAAAATATTATATGATACTTTTTCATTGAAAAAGTACATACAAAATATCCCCTGAGATACATTGACTGACTTTTGACTTCATTTGACTTACTTTTGAGATTTCAATACTCCTCCCTCGAGAGTTTTGAATGAACTATCGTGTGGTTTCTTAGTTTTTTCTGTACCTCTTCAACTTTGATCCCCACCAACTATCCATTTGTTTTATCAAAAATAATATGTTATCCAAATTAAGGTTTAATGGACTTACCAAATGCACTTCTAAAATCTTCAAAGTGGGCTGTGACGGTCATCTTATCACTTTGTTCATCAATATCTGAATCCCCTCTCACGCCATCTATGATTCTTCCAGCAACATCTGCCTCAATTATCTTAAGTGGCCTTAAAGCAAAATGTTTAGATTTTAAAACATATAATAGTTATCATAGTTTGAAGTATTCTTATTTAAAGATCCCTGATAAACTGTCGGTAATTAAATGAAATGATCTATTAATACGAATAACAACGACTGTGCTAGTTTAGGGAAAACAGAGGAAAACTGAGAGAAGCACTATTTCAATCTCAAATATATGATTGATACGACATAAGAACAGCAAGTTAAAACCCGTGAGTTTTAAAAGTCGATGTTAAGTTAAGATTTTGCCATTTTCCTTCTGATAGCATTACTTGTCATATGCTTAAAAGCAATGCTCATGTGTGAAAAACTTCATTTGAAATATTGTAAATATATCTTGAGAGTTAAACGAGCAACACCCTCGTTTATGATATACGGTGAGTTAGGTAGATACCCTATTGAAATATCAATAAAAACAAGGATAACTAATTTTTGGACTAAATTAGTCACAAGTGACACTTTAAGTAGCAAAGTGTATAAGGCAATGCTAAAACTATACCTGGAAGGTATTTATAAGTCACAGTGGTTAAGGTGTGTAGAGAATATTTTAAATGAATGTGGTGTTCCAAATATCTGGATATCTCAAAGATTTGATAGTAGATTTGCACTGAAATTAAGAGTTAAACGCAAACTAAAAGATCAATTTATTCAAAAATGGAATACAAACCTTCAGGAAAGTACATATCACTTATACAAGGCAATTAAGACCAATAAAAACTTTGAATCTTATCTCCACCACCCATTGAGCATACGTCTGTACATCACAAAATTTAGGATGTCAAATCATAATTTACCAATAGAAATTGGAAAGTATAATAATTTACCAAGACATTCACGAATATGTACACATTGTAACAAATTAGATGATGAATATGATACTATACTAGAATGTTTATTATTTTAAGATCAAAGGGAGAAATATTTAAATTCATACTTCCAAAACAGGCCAAATATGTATAAATTAACTGAACTATTTTCAAACAAAAGGTATACAATTCAACTAAGTAAATTTTTACAAAGTATTTTGAAACTAAATAACTGCCATTAGATATTGTATCGATTTTGTATTACAAGTATATTGTATATGTATTTATACTCACAGGTGTGGGTAGAAATAAAATCTAAACTGAAACTGAAAACATATCATACTTATTGTCACAAGATAAATACTAACTAGTTCATACTTGACAGTTATCTGCTAGCTCTCTAATAGGTGTTTTTCTATTAATATTCACTCACTTGGAAGTCATATTATCTGAAAACTGGCCAGCTTTGTTTTGTGCTTTAACGCTGATGTAATAGAGAGGACCAAATATATTAGGATCGAACCGCTCCAATAACACGTCACCCAAATAGCCATCAGTGCCATCTCCCATACTATGATACTCCAAAATATCAGTGATATCTACACTCATGCATAAATAGATAAGTTTAAAGTCAGTATGTATATAGAATAACAATGCAATGCTTGATACACACCTGTACAAATTATATACCTCAACTGCCACTGCGTGAAATATGGGATTCCAACTCTTGACACGTCTAGAAACTGGTCTTTACACGCCGGGTTTCTAGACGTGCCAATTATTTACACCTCTTGACACGCGATGAATTCAACTCTTTACACCTCTTTGCACTTCTTGGCACACGCAGTGCAAAGACGTGTAAAGACCATGTCAAAAAGTCTTTGCACGCCCTGTGACAATTAATGGAATCTCTTGACACGCTCTTGGCACACTGAACAACATAATTATGTGTAAACAACTAACCTAATTACCAATAGCAATACATACAGTATTTTAACGATTGCAAGTATTTTCTCTGATACTTTTAATTGATATATTTTTTAATCATTCTTTCGCAGATTGTTTGGAACAAGTACATGTAGCAAATATTAAACAGACTATTTTGTATGTACGCTGACACATTGACTTATTTAAACATTTTGGCAATTTCATGCCGCCTTTTGAAAATATAAATCAGTTACAGGCAATGCTAATCGACGCATTGATCCTAAGTGAAGGAAATACATATCATGATAAGAAAAAGAAAGGCGTTTCAAGGATAAAACGTGCAATAAACTTTGAAAACACTGATACATCAGGCCTATTTATATATTTATTTTGTATTAGCTTAATATAAAGATAACCTTACTTTTCGATGAGTATTTGGATTTCGGAGTAATTTGTTTCAAGTTAAGTCAATACAAATTATCGCCGACTTAACTTGTGACCATACAAATGATAAATGAGGGGCATTTTAATACACAATTGGGCAAAACAAGCATATTCAATCGAATGTACCATTCTCTCTGCTGTTCTTTCCCAGCCTATCCATAAACAGACAGGTACAAGTTCCCATAGTTTTCGCAACATCTAATTCTATGATCAATTGCTAGACACAGCAAATATACTAATTAATTGTCTGATTGTGATTCGGGAACGTAGGTTTTTTACATAAACAGGATACTTGGCTGTACATAGGGTTCCTAGTCAACTCGGACCCTAGTTAACTCGGACCCTAGTCAACTCGGACCCTAGTTAACTCGGACCCTAGTTAACTCGGACCCTAGTCAACTCGGACCCTAGTTAACTCGGACCCTAGTCAAATTGGACATATTTATCTTTTATTTATTTTCATAGTTTGGTCATTATTATAAAAAATAAAATAAAAGGAATTTAAATCAAATCAAATGTTAAGATAAACTATAATGTGACACCTATTTGAGACAATCATAAAACTTTTGTGAAATCAAATAGGATTAAAATGTGCTAATCCAGTGGGGTTACCAATATTATACAGTATATGTATGTGTATATTTCATATGAAATGAAACCAATGTCTATTTTGTCCAAAACCTGATAAAAGATACTGAACTTCAATGATGAATGTGGTTGACCTCTGAAGTAATTTTTCAAACCTGACTAAGAGGTATTTGCATGTTTAAATAAAACATGATTATCAAGGTGCAATTTCAAGTTTTGAACCAAACTATCCATAATGTTTTTTATAATAATGTTTTTGATTCTGGGATTTAAAATCAAATAAATGTTTCAAATTGCTCATGAAATGATAATCAAAACTGACATCCTTGAATCTTTTTAATTTTTTAAACAAAATCTCTATGATAGCATTGGCATGGAAAAAAACAAAACAATTATAGGATAATCCAAAACTGACATCCTTGAATCTTTTTGATTTTTTAAACAACACCTCTATAATAGCATTGGCATGGAAAAACAAAACAATTATAGGATAATCCAAGACTGACATCCTTGGATCTTTTTAATTTTTAAACAACACCTCTATAATAGCATTGGCATGGAAAAAACAAAACAATTATAGGATAATCCAAGACTGACATCCTTGGATCTTTTTAATTTTTAAACAACACCTCTATAATAGCATTGGCATGGAAAAACAAAACAATTATAGGATAATCCAAGACTGACATCCTTGGATCTTTTTAATTTTTAAACAACACCTCTATAATAGCATTGGCATGGAAAAAACAAAACAATTATAGGATAATCCAAGACTGACATCCTTGGATCTTTTTAATTTTTAAACAACACCTTTTATTATCTTCTTTGAAGATTATGGTATCCAGCTGAGGATATTTGATTTTGGGGTATATAAAGTCAGGAAATTTTAACTAAATTCAGATATAAATCTACTGCTTAAGCGCCAACATTACTACATTCCTACAAGAAGCTAAATTGAAAAGAGTAAATCATTCAGAATCTGCAACTATATATGTGATAAAATGCCTGTAGTGCATCCTTGTTTGGGCTGTGGAATCAACGTTCGACTACGTCAGCAATACTTTGTATGTATTTCTTGCAAAGGATGGCAGCATCGCACCTGTACCCAATTCAGCCAACAGGACTACCGGGATATGAAACAAGGAACAGGAATTCTAGCATGGAAGTGTTCAAGATGTCCTTGTATGGATCTAGAAGACCTGCTCAATAGTACTTCCAGCACTGACATAGGATCCCCTGAAGCTGAGAGCACCGACGTGGATATGGATGTTGATCCAGAGTACAGCACCACAATGCCAGTTGTCAACATGGACCTTCCAAATGGAGACAGTTTTAATGTTGACCGTCCATTTGATGTACCAGACAGGTTTGAAGAGGACACTCTTCAGGAGATGTCTCTCCCTACAAACATATCTGAGCCTGTAACAGAGTCGGTAACCTACAGTATTGTGGAAGGTGCTACACAGCGGGGAAACCCCCTCCTTGTTGACTCCGAGGGGTTCATCTACACAGTCAAGAAGACTCTTCCAGGTCGTACTACGTGGAGGTGCAAGGTTCGTGGGAAATCCGGGAACTGCAGCGCTATGGTGTTCCAATCGGAAGACATCTTCAGCAGCAGTCACCATCCTCACAACCACTTAGCTAAACCTGGGGAAACAGTGTTGGCCAAGGTGTCTGCTCTCCTCAAGTCTAAAGCCAAAGTGGAACTATTCAAGCCTGGATCGCATCTTGTAGAAGATGTTATCATCGATGAGGCACCTCCGTCAGATCCTGGTAATGCAGAACTTGTTGTGTCACATCTCATCCGTAAGGTGAATCGGGTTCGACAGCAGCTAAGGCCTGATGAACCAACAGACTTGGCATTTGAGATTGATGATCGCTACATACCAGAGAATTTCTTACAGAAAGATCTCATCCTGAATGGGGCCCGTCATCTTGTTCTCGCCACAACAGAGCAGCTCCACCTCCTCAAGAAGGCAAAGACTTGGTATTTGGATGGAACCTTCAAAATTGTACAACTTCCCTTCACTCAACTCTTCTCTATCCATGGCTTCATGAAGGGTGACGATGGCGATATAAAACAAGTCCCACTACTATTTTCTCTGATGTCACGTCGTCAACGCATCGACTATGAAGCCCTCTTTGACTGCGTAAAGACCCTCATTCCAGATCTCGCTGTGAAGAAGTTCGTTCTGGATTTTGAACTGGCTACCTGGAAAGCTGTACCCAGTGTATTTCCTGATGTTAAGCTTGTTGGATGCGTATTCCACTGGACACAAGCAGTGTGGCGTAAGACCCAAGAGTTGGGGCTTTCTTCGGCTTACAACAGTGACGAGGCAGTCCACGACTACATCAGAAAGCTACTGGCCCTTCCATTCCTTCCCAGTGAGCATATCTCTGATGCATTCCAGCAGCTAGAGTCAAGATCTACAGGAGCAGTTCAACCACTTGTAAGCTACATGAAACAGACCTGGATTACCAGCACCACATGGAACCCAGAGGCATGGAGTGTCTTCAACCAGCCTATTCGTACCAACAACGACACTGAGGGCTGGCACAGACGCATGAACGGGAAGGCAGGGCGTTCCAATCTCCCCATGTACATGATGATCCCCTTACTTCACAGGGAAAGTAAGATAATCAGTATCAACCGACGCTTGGTGAAGGATGGAAAACTTCGTCGCTACCAACGAAAAGTCTACAAGGCCAGCCAGGGGAAGATCATGAAGTATTGGGAGCAGTATGAAGCAGAGAACATCACCACTTCAAAGCTGCTGAAGAAGATTAGCAAGATTGTGAAAGTTTAAAAATGGACTGTTCTAAGTGTTATAAGGACATTATTTCTGATGCAGTATGATATTTTGTAAATATGTAAATATATAGTAATGCTTGTAACTACACTGTATTATTGTAGAAATAAATTCATTATATCAATTAAATATTTTCTTATCTCTTTTATATTATTTAATTTGAAAGCTTTGTAACAAGCAACATACGTTTTAAACCTGGACTACAAATCTAAGGTTTTACAAAATAGGTTTTGATAATGAAATTGGTCAAAACACAAATACACTAATACTCATATTGGAATTAAAGCAACAGCTCAACATTATCTTTATGACAGCAACCTAATTAAATGCTTATTAGGCCATTCAAGATTTCATAATTAGGTTATTCATTTGTGAAAACAAAATTCACTCTACTTTTGTGTGCTTAGATATCTATAAAATTTTATATAAAATATAAAAATATAATGTATTAAAAAGTGATAATAGCATTTTGAAAACCAAAATGTAAATACAATGTAAGATTACAATGTTTAGAAAATTGACTTTGACTCATTAGAAATATACACAAACATAAATTTTTAATTGTGTTATACAGTTGTATTAAATTCATTTAAAATATACTTGATATCTATCATAATGATTGCTTTATATGATAAATACACTTTGATATATAATTTGAATATATCTAGGTCCGAGTTGACTAGGGTCCGAGTTGACTAGGGTCCGAGTTAACTAGGGTCCAAGTTAACTAGGGTCCGAGTTGACTAGGGTCCGAGTTAACTAGGGTCCGAGTTGACCAGATACCGTACATAGCCTGAGAACACCGGATTGACCCCCCCCCCAATCGACGCCTAGGCGCTGCTTATGTTTTGATAAGAAACATTCCCTTGTAAAGAATTATCGGGATATGAATTGATACAAGGTCAAGTATTCTGCCCTTTTTGTGTGATAAAAATATGTATTTAATTGGTGCTTTAACTTTTTGAACAAAGAAATGAAATAATCGCACTGAATGTCTCAACATAAATCTGTGATGTTTAATTAATAAATGGCACTATTATGTCAGTCTACGCACTTCATGGACATGGACGGGGGGGGTGTGTGAGTTACCCATTCTAAATTGGTTAAATTTTGTATTAAAGAGTAATCAATAGGTCGTGAACTCCGATTGATAACCAACTGTAGCATACTACTTAATTTGTTTGACTATTGATATTAAAAAGGAGTGAATTTATGATATTCATAGAGGTACATTGTATTGGTATTAATATAATAATGATATTGGGGACCATAAACCACTTTGTTTCGCAAGTTGCTTTAGGATCGCGGTTTTATCTTCACATGTTGCCCTTTGTGCAATTCGAAAATGAAATATTTTAATATATAATTTATATATCATTTGCAAAATAAATGTAATTAAGAGACATGGGGGAGGGGGGGGGGGGGTTAACGGCCAGAATTTGGAATGAATTTGGGAATTTCAAGGATTGATTCACTTAATGTTGTTCACTGGAGTCGATACACACACCTGCATAACAATCGGAGACAAAACTGACTTAATCTGATATGATAACAAAAGATTAATAACTTAGTCTATGTTTTTGTTTTTATAATTGCGGAAGTGTACCAAAACCACCTTGATTACAGAAGATATCGTCTAGGCTTTAGATTTAATGAATAGATTTTTTGCCCTAGTCTCATTTAATAAAACAGGCTATTTGCGTATTTAATTAATATTTGTGACAAAATATTTCAGTTAGACTCAAAATCAAAACGAATTTCTCCATTATAGCCCCCCTTGCAACTGTCCCGAGTCTGCATCTGTTTTTCATGCTTCCGATCCACCTTTGGGATAGAGAGAATAGATGTAGATTTGTAATTTGGGGGGGGGGGGGGTGGCATTAAATGTGTTCTCATACAAACTAAAATAAACCCCAAAAAGCCATATCAAATGTCCAAACACAAGACCAATGCCATGTCAAACATCCAAATATAGAACCAATGCCATACCCCCGGGTACCAAATATCCAGAATATAAGACCAAGCCCATTCGAAATATCGAATGCCCCGAGAAGAAGGCAGATCTTTGAGTAGAATGATCATAAACAACCTCAAATGAAGGATATTTGTAACAACTAGACCAATGCCCCGGGACCAATGCCGTACCACAATTAAGGGGTAACATATTTTCCACACCGATTCTTATACCAGAAAATGGAAAAATCTGTCTTAAAATGTGGGTCCATTGGCTTGACATACCAAATGTAAAAAAGGTACCCCATCCGCCGAGTGTGAACCCCAGGGGTGAATGGTGAACACACGGGGCAAGGAATTCTTCGATTTTGATTCAAGTAATTTTTTTTATAAAATTCATACTCATGTTAATAGCGGACGCCTTGGCCAAATAATCTTTCAAATCATGCACTTTCCAAGTGATTTTGTAGCAAAATTGTGATAATATATGAACCCATTGGAATTATTCAAAGACGGACCCCCGCCAGCCCATCCCCCATTCTTACCTATGCTAAACACTAAGATAAACATATAGAATGGTATCTTACACTTTTTTCTAAATGTTGATATCCAAAAAACATATCTTTTTGGTTTATCAACACATACCGCTCACAATATAACAAGTATACAGATTGTAACATAGATAAGCGAATTGGGGAAAATTACAATCCCTTTGATCAAATTATCATAAGATTTAATCTCCAGCTGAGGTGCAATCAAAATGTTGATACACATAATCAGCAGTCAGAAAGATGCTCTTACCACTGTAGTTTTCAATATTCCCTTTGTTGTAACATCTTGGATGAATGGATATTGATGGTTGTATGGAAGTATTCATATCAAACATTCACATTTGACTATCTAGCTTTTGGTGTTTTGATGACGCTTATTTATTGTAGAAGAGACACACTTGTGAAACAACATAAGGTCCAGAACTATATTTTGTCACAACCTTCAGAGGGATAACATAGTTTACAAAAGGTTTACTGCAAATGCCTTTTATATGAACAAAATGTCAACGGGGAGTTTCCTGCACCTGCGATATGGTTTGTTCATTTAGAATAAGATGAACCATGACCATGTATTCCATTCTGACAGAATTTCATCTAATATTATTATTATGTTCGGAATCCGGGTTCGGAATGTTCGAAATGATAATGTCAGATAGATACAAAATAATATTGATAATACACATACAATTTTGCTCCAGTTTGAATTTCATTGGCGGATCCATAAAATCCGCCAAATTAAAAATCCGTCAAATTTCAGTTTGGAATTTTAGTCCAATACACTTCAGAAAACTTCTTGGGTCCCATTTCCTGTCAACATGTCATCAATTCTACATTCTTCCAAAAGAAATACAGAAAGTATCTCAGTAAATATCAGTCCTAAAGAAATAGTTTATTGAAGTTCGTAAACATGGTGAAATTGGAATATACAGGGTGTCAAAGAGCATAAACTTAGAAAGGTACCTACACATTATGTATGTCATTGGAAAGAGCATTCAATCCTGGATAAAACAAACCCTAGATGACCTAGGTCAGATGTTGCTACATAGTGTCACATGCATTTGAAATGTACTAGTGTAGTGCTCTATTTCATTGATTTTTGAGAATCTGGCATAGACTTTTTTGGTGTTGATGAATACCCGAGCAACAGCCCTGACCTGAATGCTGCAGAGCACATAGGGTCCATATTAATGGATAAAACAGAGCAACTTATTGATACCGAAGCTGCAGAGAACAGATATTCCAAAGATGCCCTGCTCAAGAACCTCCGAAAAGTATTAAAATCTCTTGAGAAAGACACAGCCCTTTTCCATTCCCTTTTAGCTTCATATCCGGCTAGATTGGTAGCGGTTAAGGCTACCCAAGGGGGTCATACTCACTTTTAAAATTAAGTTAAAAATATATCTTATTTTCCATCATGCATCTTCATCTTTTCACATGTTAACAACAATTAAATGCTCTTTCCAATGGTATATGGTATGTGTGAGTATCTTTCCTAGTTTATGCCGTGGAGGGGGGGGGGCACAATGCCATTTGACACCCTGTAGTATATTAGCCGGCAAACAGAGATACGTAGCTAAAATAACGAGGAATTAAAAATAGCCTCTAATAGAGTGCAATCATGAACTCTCTTGAAAGCCCATGCTGTAATCAAGGTAATCTTCGGATATCCTGTCCATGAAAAAGCAAAAACCCATTCAAACAGTAGAATTAATTGATTATGTGTGGTCTAGACGAGGGTACAAGAAAAGTATTAATATATGAAGGACAGGGGGCTACTGAAACTGGTAGTTCAAGCATAATTATTTGCTTGTAATGTCTGGTTCACATTTGCTCAAATTCATCGTCCGGCCTCCGGCCATCCTCCGATCACAGGGCTTCAAAATCCAGAATATATTCTTTCTTTTTACCCCCTGCGATAAGCAGTTAGCCTTTCCCCGATTAAGAACTCGCAATCTGATTGGCTGTCGCAACACTGCGACAGAAATCATGTAAAAGTCATTGCGCATAATAAGATCACGTGATTCAGTTTAATCGGGCGTTTCCAAATTGGTTATAGCAGGGGGAAGAAGGAGGTACTGATTCTGGATACTTGCTTAGGAGGATGGCCTCCGGCCGATTGAGTATTTTGTTTAAAATTGTTTTCATGTTTGAAAAAACACTCAATCGGCCGGTCCCCGGCCGATGAATCGGAGCAAATATGACCCAGGCATATGAGGGGCAACATTTTAGATATAGTATTGTTTGAAATCCTGGGAAAATGCACTCCCCCAATTTTGCAAATCTGGTCTGCGGTGCTAATGAACCCTCTAATTTGTTTTCGTTTACATGAGCAACTAACAGATATGTTTATTCTCATTCTGTCTCAGCTTAATTTTAATTAAATTTTACCCCCACCCTTCGAACATCTTTGTCTCCCTCATTTTTGCAACCCTACATTCAGTTTCTTTTTAAACCAAATCAAGAAATATCCGTCCACATATCAGATATTAAACCAATAGTTGTTCATTATAAGAACAACCATATATTATATTTATAGATCATAAGCTATTTTTAATTTCAGCTATAAAATTAGCCCTCTCTCCCCTCCTCTATCTCTAGATACGCAGAGTTTCTAGACCGGCTAAGCACGTCTAAAAATTACTAGAAATTCCACAATTTATACAGTGATATGGATTTCATGTTTCTATTGAATCCCTTATTTTGAAGTCTAGCTAAATAATCGAGTTTGATTTTAAACGTTTTCGGGGATCCGGGCAGAACTCAGGATATAGTACTTGAGTACATTTGCATTCAAAATAATTCAAAATTCAAAATTGCAAATATCATGGAAGTTGATTTCAATTATGTTCTATGATCGTCAACATGAAAGAACAATATGTCTGAATAATTCATCCTTTGAAGAAGGATGGAATAATTAGCTATTAAACATCTTTATCAAAACTTTCCTACACTTTTAAATGTTGATCTTGTCAAAGAGTACTCTCCATCTGAGATTCAGATGTAGATCGAAAATCAAATTGATTTCAAAGGTATTTAAAGATGGTTTACATGAGGGATTCTGTCCATGTGGGTGGTGTATTCCTTTTGTTTTGCTTCCGGGGTCCTACATTATTCAATTTTAAATAGTAACTAATAAGATTAAACAGATCAAAAAGACTCGGGGCACTGCCGTCGCCCCATCATGATCAATACAGGTGACAATAAGCGACACATGTTTCAGCGTCATGATAGTAAACCATGACATCTCAAATCTTCCCAGCCCTTGATTTTTGAGATCTTTCATCCCAGCTCATATTTCATCTAATTGGGGTCATAAAACTTGTGTAACTGTGCCTGTTGCATCCTCGCTGGAAGGGTATTTTACAAGTATAAATAAATGAAGTCCTTTGAAGAAGGATGTGCCTGTTGTTAAATACATGTACAATGCCTTACTACATTATGTAATGTATTGACATTAAGGTAGATGATTACATGATAACAATCACACTTATTGACATTCATAACTTCCCATCTGATATGCTCAGATCACAGAATATGCCTCATTATATCAGAGCATGTTTCAGGCGTTTCAGACCCATAGCCAGGATTTGCCAAGGGGTGGGTTACTTTTTTAAGAAATTCCAGGGGGAGTTTACTTTTGGCAATGTTAGTTCAAAAATGAGCAAAATAATTTAAAAGGTGCTCAGTATGGGGTAAAAAATGCAATTTTGGTCACGGAGGGGGGGGGGTCGCTAGAACCAATCTATCCCCCCTGTATTCAGGCCTGCATGTGCTATCTACATATTTGACAATTTGATTGACACGGTTCAAAGTGGACTTTGTTAATTATTCAAACTGTTTTAATATCTATCAATATGCGTCCAAGTTAAAATCACTCGAAATCAGGGTAGAAACCTAAGAAAAACACATTTCGTGTTTTCATTTGATCTTTAACATGATCCTGTAAAAATGTCAGATTTAGCAAAATACATAGGCGATCTCCGTCTGCACACATCTACTCATTTCGACTAAGCTATTGCCTATACTTACACGCACACGCATACTTTTAAATTAATTTTATTTTGATAATGATTTAAAAAACACAAATTATTATTAACACGAAATTAAAATGATTGTTATATTCCAATCCTAGTAAAGTATAATTAAGCGCGACTATAGGACATAACAACATGTGGCCGGTCTAATTATACTGTTTGTTTTGATAAGGCTGTGCAAAGAGATATCAAAACTCTTGACACGCTCTTTACACGCGAGGTCTTTGCAACTCTTGACACGTCTTGGAATCTCTAGATACGCGGAGTTCCTAGACTATCTTTGCACGTCTAGAAATTGCTTGGAATTTTGCATTTGACGCAGTGTGCATGGTTTGACTAAAAGGTAACCCACGAACCTCCACGTTGCTGTCAACGGAAATCATTAAACCCATGCCTATTGAATAATATACTGGCAATTTTGAATTCGAATGCATATAATAATTCTTTCTGAAGAAGATGCTATGTGTCTTGCATGTTTCAGTTCCAACTATCTTACAAAACGAGCTTGTTGAAAATATGTATCAGAAAACAGGCTATAGAACTACTGTATCAACGACGATATTACATTCTGCGGCAGTCTAAGCATAAACGGTAAGTGTTCGTCCGTCAAATACATGGTGGTAAAGGTCAGTTAGCTAAATATTGCTAAGTACCCTTTCATACCATATGCAAGCATATAATATAGCATGATGTGCATGTTTTATATTCTAGGTCCAAAGTAACACCCTTTGGAAAATTTAAGCTCTCTTGGTGAAACTGGGTTCCTTTTGGGGCAAAAAGTCATAGGAATCTTTTCAAAATTGTTGACCCTGCTCTCAGGCTCTAAAGTTGACAATTTGGCGAAAATGACATAAACGTTTGTTTTCTAGGTTAACATTTAAAAAAATAAGAAGGATGCACCATCAAATAGTAAATAGAATGTAGCAACTACCTATGTGTTAGATTGTGATATCTTTATTTTATAAGTATTTGCTTACTGTAACTATTTTCCAAAATTTGTATCCCTATCCTTTAAAAAGGTGAGAATGGTCAATCTCATCATAATTGCATTTTTGTATTGCAATTCTTTAGTTTCGACATGATATAGATTAACCACATTTAAAAAACAGAAAATTATATCAATCAGTCATGCAGATATAAACATATTTAAATTATCAACTATTACTAGTAAAAGTATTAAATGATAAAATAAAAAACAACACAGTTCTGAATCCCATTTTGAGTATGACATCATTCAGGACTTGGGCTCCTGGAAAAGGCCTGCCAAATAAGTTGACTTAGCAATATTTCTTCTATATGTAATATTATGTGTCAGTTGTCTGGGAACCCAACTTTGTTTTTAATAACTGGAACTGAGATATTTAAAGATATATTGGAAAAGACATATAAACTATTCCTACACGTAATCTACGTGTGATGACTCGACCTCATACAACAGAAAGGAAAGACAATATGTCATGGCAGTCCATCAATCAACAAGTATATTGTCCAAGCTATTGCCGGAGAAGCATTTGTCACGATTAAACAAAGATCGAGAGCCATCAAAACCTTTCATTGACTCAATGGACCACCTTTTTATATGCATAGGTGACAGTGGCAACTTGGGGACACTTTCTCGATGGTGTAACAAGTGGTATACCAGACTCCGGGGTTCCGCATGACACTGTTTTTAAACTTCTCTCGTGTGTCATCCCTTCTGTCTCTCAATAAATAGCATGTCTACACATTGAGCCAATTTGGGGCGCTCACCGTTGATCCCTTTCAGAATTACCAGATATTGATACCTTGTGTTCTAAGTCAGTAGGAGCAATATTAAATAGCTGGTCCATAGAGTCAACTTAAGATTTTAATGGCGCTGTATCTTTGCTTAATCGTGACCAATAATTAAGATGGGTTCTAAGGTTAGTCAGTAAATCAGATTTTGTCTCGCCTCTATCAAGGTAATGTAGCTCTCTGCCAAATACCTTCAACTTCCTGAGCAACAGTTTTGACAATATCTTTGTTATTTGATGAGCTGCCATCATATATTGCTCTTGCTCTCTGTAGTATGTAGTATGATCCGTCTAGCAGGTAGCTTAGATGTAGATAAAGTTCCTATGCCCTTTCCAATAAGGTTGTATTTAAATATCGCAATTCCAGTTATTAAAAGCAAAACAAATTTCCAGACATCGTATAGCATTGACCTTAGAAGAATATTATTCTAGTTACTAGAGATGTTGCTTGTGCTAAGCATACTTGGCTGGGCAGGCCATTCTCAGGAGCATGGTCATGATAACTGATTTATAGAGTAATATGCAGAAAATTGAGACATTATAATCTCAAACATAGGTAGCAGTTGTATTTTAAGCTATATTTGGCGGTGTATCATTTTTAGATTTTTTAATTGAGCCTAGAGAATGAACGTTTTTTGCCATTTACGCACAATCACAGTCTCAAAGAGAAAAAACATTATGAAACAAATACCGGTACCTTTTTGCACTGAAAGGAACATCGGTTTATCTAGGGCGCTTAACTTTTTCAAAAAGTGTTATTTTTGGACCACCCTAGTTGAAATTATTCATTCATAGGTGTATACATTCGGTATATCCTTTGATTCATGACATGCTTTTTGTCAACGAATGGACATGATATCTATAGTTCTTTGACAAAAATCAATAGTGCACGACGTCATATCTTGTGGGAACTGCAAATTTATGTTAATTTCAATCTAAATTGAAGGTTCTGATTGGGTCAGGAGGCAAAACCTCGTAAAATACCTGGATATAATCGAGCAAAAGCCTAAATTGCTCTAAATTGCCAAAAGTGCTCTTTATCGAAAAATCGTAGCGTTCTGAGAACGACTTTATGAATACAAGTTACGCTATCTAACCTGGAGATGTCCCCACTGCAACATAATAGTCTTTGATACCACTTTCGGGATCTATAGCCAGCCATGTTGCTTGGATACCAGCATTGTCGGCAGATACAACCACGCCATCTATAACATCTTCCATTTCACCATCAGAAACACCTATTCGTACGTACTGCATCTATAATCCAAACATTCAAGAGCGCAGGATAAAGGTCCATGTGCAATATGGCAAGTGATTTTAGACGGTCATAGCTTTCACCATGGGTACTTTCTGGCCATCAATACAGTAGTTTTTATTAAAACAATATGTTTTCTTCAAGTAAAGTCCGCATGATAGTAAAATATCATTCTAACTCTCTAAAAAGTATGAATTAGGACCCAACCTTTGCACTTTTTGAAAATGTTAGGCTCATTTTCTAAAAAGTGGATCTTTTTTCTCAATTTAAACGTATCAAAATATTCTTCGACACTATATTAACGATTTCTGAAGAGGGGATGCGTATTGAAATCCCTTAAAGGGATATTTAGCTCACAAAATAAGTATAATTCGTTAACATATTAAGTATATTATTAAAAAGATTAGTTAGGTTACATGTCCTCGATAGATGCATAAATAAGGGTTATGTACTGGGAGGTTTTGGATATGGGGTTTGTCCAGAGAGAGATACGCATATCTACCTGAGGGATCGTAGGGACCGAAGGTAGATGTGCATATCTCACGAGGGATGAAACCAATATATAAAAACCGACCTGAGGGATCGTAGGGACCGAAGGTAGATGTGCATATCTCACGAGGGATGAAACCATTATCCAAACCGACCGTATATAACTGCTTTATCCTATACCAAATAGGGTTTCAGGGGCATATGGCCATTTCAATAGTACAAGGTGTAAAAATGAACAAATCATTCATATGCAAAGTCATTTTATTGCATTTCCACTACTTACCGGAAGCGGGAAGATATGCATCGAAGCGGGAAGATATGCACCGAAGCGGGAGATATGGCGGGAGATATGGAGGTTCTGGATAAGGAAACCTCAAAATCTGAGGATACCGGATATATCTTACCAACTTATCTCCCTAAAACTCTACTTGGCATAGGATAAACAAACATATTCATTTCAGTTTGGAGATATCCACTCTGGCTCAGAATTGTGTAAGTCGCCATATTGGAATGAATGAATATGTTTAAATAAAGCGAGTTGGTCAATTATTGACTCAGTTTGTCAGAATATGTTGTGGGGCATATTTTACCATCTTTCTTGGGTTACAATATGGCGACCAACGTCGATATGATGTCATATTTCCGGTGACCTTGATGTAAAATGGCTCATCAACAAATCTTCATCAACTATGTCAGTGGGTCAATTGATATTTTTTTCAATATGATCACTTAACCTAATATATTTTTTAAAAAGTTTTAGTTTTATTTCCTCAATTTCACATAAAGCTACATATTGACACACCGTTGGTGGAGTGGGGTCGACATTCACACCATCTGTGTTATGTACTGTTGTTAGACCAGCATTATTCACTGCAGATACACGAATATCATATATTGCCCCAGGTTCAAGTTTCAGGTCAGTGGCGCTATAAACATTCACGTGCGCCCCTAACGTTAATGGTTCATCACTAAAATTAAAACATATAGAGACTTATCAAATACAGAGAGTGACCAATGGGTTAAAACCCGCTCTTGAAGTTCATTTCTTACAAATGAAGTACATATACTTGATCCATTGATTGAAATGAGGTGTTGATTCAACTGAAACTGTTTTGGAGCCACCATTTGCCTTTACTCGAGTTATACCAAAATACCAAAATAAAGTCACTATTTATTAACATGAAATATATAGGGTAAATATTTATATAATAAGATATGCATTTTTATTTAAAGCTTGGAAATAGGGAATAAGAAAAAGGGGTAAATAGGGTATATCTCGAAACCCGAAACAAAGAATTGTTCAATTTTGGTTACTGGATGGTAAAATACTTGTAGCTAATTTAGGATCACACAATGTATAATGCCACTGGAGCTCATCAAATCATTGGTTCTATTTTGCCTTAACGCAATATATGTTGGTAATTATTAGACTGATTAATTCTCTACTGACTTACCCAATAGGGAACAATTGTCTCTTGTTCCCTCCATGGAGCTCGTATATTGTGAATTGATGGTGATTTATTCCAGACTCTGGGTCTAGAAAGAGCCAGTTTGCCGACAACTCCACAAGGCTACTCTGTTGATTATATGTGTTGCATTAATCGAAATGACTAGAGAAACGGCTAATTGTTATTTACATTCTACATGATATGTTTTGATAATATGACATTAAAATGATAAGTATTTATTGTGTTTTCCACAGGGTCAGTTGTGAATACTGATTGATACATTTTATTGCTTACAGAAAACTGGGCGTCTTTTCGGAGAGCTATTCCATCATTGAGGTATTGGACTTCTGGTGCTGTCAGATCAACAGTTACTCCTGTAGAAACCGTTGTTATGATGGAACTTGCACCGTTTGTTGTATTCATTTCCACGTATATATAGTCACCATGGTGATGATGGAAGTGATGCCAATTAATATTGTTGACGCGGTTGCCAACGGATTCTGGTAGGTGTATTATACTTTCATCACTTGTCTTATGAGACAGTCTTTCTCTGTACACAGCTAATGAGTAATCAACAATACCGGACTCTGGATCCCCATAACCATTCCAATTGACTTGTACGCTGGCTGTTTTCGACGTGAAGTTGCTATCAATGTCTTTGTCTAATCCATCTTTTATCCAGCCTTTTATCGGTTTTGTCATGTCAATTGAAACTAAAACATGGACTTCATAAGTTTTTGTATGATAATCACTAAAATATATAATGCCACTAGACGTCCAAAAACATATGCTGCGGTGTAATTCTTACAATGGTTTAGTAGAAACTAAATTCGGTATAATATTAAGACACTATTTAGATTTAATACAGATTTAAACATAATGAGGAAGGCATCTTAATATTATATGCTAGAGCATTACAAAGATTAGGGCCCAAATAACACAGTGATAGTTTTGAGTATTTAGGGATATGAAATTGCGCTAGCTACTTTTGAACTATGTTGATGGAGATGTATTGAAACAGTTTTTTAGGACCCGGATGTTTATTTAAGATGTTATACGTGAACCGAGAAATGTAAAAATTGTCAACAGTTACATCATAAATATTCACAATCAGATTTTTGTAATTTGTATAATTGGTTGACATCTTGGTAATTCAGCGTTTGTGTTCGATTTTTGAAAATGTCGCTATAATAACCCAAAAATCAATATTCAACAAATACTGTACCTCCATCCGATATAACAGATACATTCAGCAGTTTGTGACCTCCATTGAAAGCATACAGAACAGTGTAATAAGTGGAGTTATGTGTCAATTCAGTGATGTTTGCGAAAGAAGTGATACATGTATCATATTCATTATGACCCAAATCAGTCAATGGAATCACATCATCCATGCCTTCTGCCATTCCAAATCCTATCTTATAGCCAACTAAAATATTCAAACATAGTTTTGCGCTCGTGATATTAAATGAAATGGGTGTATACCTATTCTTGAAAGGGCCAATACACACTCAAACAGTGGTGTTTAATCTATGTATATGACATGGGCTTGTTTTTGTCTTATCTCGCGGTATTTTATTACTTAATACTGTATTAAAACTTATGACATTTTACTTACCCAATCCGCTGTCTGGATCATGAAAGTTTTGCCAATTAGCACATAAAATATCGTTCCTATTTTGATAATCTATATCTATATTGTGCACCCATCCATCAAATAGATCGCCTGCTATCGGAGGCGTTGTGTCTATAACGATGGGTATATCAGCTGGTCCGACCTCTCTTAAGTCAACTACAAACATATAACATTTTAACATCTGGTTCAAATAATACTGTGTGTCACGTTAAATTTTGTAGTTGCATGTTATTGTTATTTCATCAATTTAGCATGTCTAGTTAATGGGCAAATTTAAATTTGGGAATTTGATCATCCTCCGATCACAGGGCTTCAAAATCCAGAATATCTTCTTTCTTTTTACCGAAGGAGGTACGGATTCTGGACAACTGCTTAGGAGGATGGAATTTGATTGGATAAGATTTAACTTTGAAATTTATTACATATATTGGGAAAGAAATAGCTTCTGAGACTTTTTCGATACATTTGGCTCCAAAACATGCTTATGACAAACCGGAATAGAAACACATACTTAAGAATATTTCAGGTTTCTCATGGTATTGTCAAATGAAACTAACGAATGAATATGCCGTATCTGCAAACTTGTTACTGCCCTTATAACGATATACCTTAACAATGACCACTCCCCCTCCCACTATGCACAACAATCAGTGTCTTTACAACTACTTTTAAGAGAACCCCCCCCCCCATATTTATAAGTTAACCCCCCTACCGTACAAATACAAAAACAACCCCCTTCCACCGCAAAACACACCATCCAATTCATTCATAAGTGACATGCTCTTACCCCCATAATTTGCCAATGTCAAAATAATAATCCTCATCTAGACTTTCACAAATATAATTATCCCCATCTAGGCTTTTATATAAATAATTATCCCCTTTTAAACGTTCACAAAAACATTATCCCCATTTCGACTTTTAGAAAAAATATAACCATCTCGACTTTTAGAAGAAATGTTATCCCCATCTTGACTTTCAGAAAAAAAATTATCCCCATCTAGACTTTTAGAAATTTGTTTTCCCCATCTAGACTTTTAGAAAAATAAGCATCCCTCTTTGGATAAAAAATCATGGGGATATAGATAAGAAATCAAATATGTCTAAGTCTTTGGGTCCAACGAGAGAGTTTGTCTTTGTGTGTAGCAATTAGTTGTATACTACTAAAATTCAGTAGAGCTGTGCTTATTGTCCACTGGTCCGAATAGAAAGGAAAAATCAATCTGTATATTGCAATTTGTTTATTATTATCAATTTGGGCATATATGGTATATTTACTTATTTCTTGACGTACGATTATGGGATACGAGGCAGTAAATATAGAAAACGCATTCTGTATACCACAGCGTAAAGATGAGGAATGTATTTACATTAAATAAATTGAACACTAAATAAATGACATCTCTCTGTTATGAGTGATAATATCATTGTACCATTGTTTATTGCTCTTATTTTTGGCCAGCTTGGGATTCCATCGGGGATATGCTGTACTTTTTCCAGGTGGCTTGTATTTGGATATCTGTCCCAGTCAGATACGTAACAATCACGCCTGCTTCTTCCGAGGCAGAAATCCACTTCCCGTATGTCAGATAGGGTATCGCTGTACAAATCGGTTATCATTTTTAAATCTGTTTGGTAGCATATACAATATTCATACTTAGAGATTTAGTTCTATTTTACAACAATACAACACCCATTGAAGCGTAAGTGATGCTGCATTGCAGGTCGTCTTCTTTGCCCAAAATGCATCAAAGTTATTAATAAGTCATGATATGCAGATTACTGTACTCCCTATAATTCGAAGTTAATATACACAAAATAATTTTCTCGTGTTTTCAAAAGACATGTGACTAATTTACGTACCTTACATTATATGTCATTTTTATAATATGTGTATGTTCATCATATGATAACATCAGAACATGGTTGACAAATGGGGGTGTAGTATCCACTATATAAGGCAAACTATGACAAACCGTCAGAGCCATCGGGCCTCCAAATTCTATTTTGTTCAATGCTCTTACATTTATATGGTAGTATCCATCTACAATTAAATATTGTTTAGATGCAGCTAAAATGTAACTTGAACTTGATGCAAGAGATTTTACATATTATCTAATCTTTTTAAAACATGCCATGCTTCGAATTAACGTTTTTTAAACAAAACTTTGGACCTGGCATGTGAAGGGGGAACAGCATTGCTTCATGTGTCCATTCAGTCTCGTATATGATATGGCTATGCGGATCTTTGTGTGTGTGGTGGTTGTCTAGGCATAGGTCAGTTCCAACAGAGACTAAGTAGCCAAATATGCCAGTCTCATTGTCATGGAAGCCATCCCAATTAGCTTGAATGTGTAAAAGATTAAATAGAATTGCATTAACTCATTCAACCCCAATTATTCTCAACACGGTATATCGCCTATGTATATATGCATCAACCAGAGTAACCTTCCGTGGCTCCTAATGTAGCCATGGAAGGTGACATGGCCTCGATCCCCATATCAGCTACGCTAAAAGTCGAAATAGCACGTACATGGTGTCGGCTACAGATTATGGACAATTCTAGAGTGATGGAGAAAATCCACCAATTCTCTTATGGTAAACGAAGTTCATGGGAGGAAGCTGTTACGCGGAATATGGCATATATTCATGGTTGCGCGGTATTTGTGATACAGATGAATATGCCATACTCAGCTGCGGTATATGGCATATTCCGCGGGTGAGTATGGGATCTTCCCCAGTAAATATGCGATACATTAATTTCAGTGAATATCCGATACTCACCTGCGGAATATGTCATACTCATTTGCGGAATATGACACATTCCGTGGGTGAGTATGACATATACCGCAGGTGAAAACGTGATATAGAAAGCCTTAATTTGATTGGTTGCCAGAATCAACTCTAAATGTAAAACTACGCCGGATTACCAATATAGTTAGTGCTTCGAGTAGTAATATATGAATCCTGGATTTATTGAGTAAGTTTACCACGTGAGATTGCTGAGTGATACTTCTCTGCATTAGTTGATATATTTAGTGCACTGTACCGATGATTAAGTAATCATTTCAATAATTTATAAACTTTTACCCGTTTGTTCAATCGATGGAATTGACAATATCGTACTTCCGTATCCCGTTCTCATTAGTTAGTGAGTATGCCATATACCGCAGGTGAATCTGTCATACACCGCAAGTAATTCTTCAATATTGAATGGAGTGTTTTGGGTAGAATCGTTAATTTTTGTTTTGGAGATTTCTGAAGTAATTTTACTACATGTTAATGTATACAATTAAAGATAAATACCAGAGCAATATTTGTTATCTCTTGTCCATCTCAAGTCAAACATATCCTTGTCTCCATTGAATACACAAAATGAATATGGACCTTCGGGTTCTGATACACCGTCAACTATTACCCTGGAAAGAAAATTAGAAAAATACTAACCAATTAATTGTTTTATAGTACAGTATTACTCTACGTTATTATACTTAAAAACATACACATACGTTTCAATTCAATTAAATTAAATTCTGAATTCAGCGCCAAATTACTGGTGTGTATGTACAGTATACATTGGATTTTATGATACAACAAAAATACATTTATAGAAATCCCGCCATTGAAATGAATTGCGAGAATTTTAGCAACAGAAACATGAGATTCTACTGAAATTCAAAAAGTAACTAGATAATTATACTTTGGACATCTTTTTTATTATGTCTGGAAACAATGGTGCCAATTATAAGTCAATATTATGAAAGTAAATGTATTAATGGGATAATCAAATGAGAAATGAAATATCATTTCTTCAAAACGTTCACCTGTGGTTGTCAAGAGGGGTCGGTTCAATGCATCGTGTTGCAAATACATCAGTTGTAATATCCTGACATTGGTCATGTCTGAAGTCCACTGAAAGGGGTTCTTCAATTGGTCCAGGAGAAGGTGGAGTAAAGTCAATGATCACTGACTTGGATGTAAGAATGCTTTCATACCCTAGGAAAAAAATGATATTACATAATAACACGCACACATAATATTATACAAGTATATACATGTATATAAATACATATATCGCATACAATAAAAGCATAACCGATGTTATACATACTTACCAAGTGTGTTGATAACTTGGTAGTTAAAATAGTAAATCGTGTTGTGGGACAAGCTGAGATGTTCGTATCTATACTTTCCAGAATGACCTGCACCAAGTCGTTCAAAGTGATGGAAATGACCTGACTAATAAACACATTAATCAAGATTAAAGACATGCTAAACAGATAAGTAGGTCAGTATTACATAATCATGAAATGAATAAGTCTGGAAATACAATTGGTCAGAATGTACTAAAACCTGCTTGAAACTGAAAAACATTGTATGCTCCATTCCACACAATTAAGAGGCTTTAGAAATTCGCAACAACAATTAATAATAAGTGCCTGCATAATCATTGCATCGTGTATTGCTTATCAGATGTATAGAAATCCCTCCCGTTTTCCAGAAAAAAACAGATCTTAGAAAAATACCCAGATTTTGTTTTATTTGATGTGTGTTTGTATATGTAATAATAAAAGGTATCCTCATAAACCTACTATTTTCATCTTGATGATACTGATTTATTCACTTATTTGGTAAATGATAGCAACGATTTTAATGGCTTTTTGCGCTTGCATTGTGAAAGACTGACCATTTGATGCTAGACTTCTCCAAGTTATTGATGCTTTAAATGTTCATTTATTTCTAAACACTCAATTAACATGATTTATTTGAGACTCCATTGGCATCGTTATTCCTGAAAAACTAGTTAAAAATTTAGTTTTAGATCAGCACGTATGATTGTTACGTAATGTTAGATAAAACCGCGGAGTGACCGAAAATAACCCAAATTTGAAAATACTTGATTCCAGGACTTTGTACCAAGATATGTGTAAATGTCATTAATTTCATGGGTTTACCTCGTGAAGTTCTGCTTGGTTGCCTTCCACAAATTCAAGTAACTCACAAATCCCACTTGGTCCAAAGTCATAGTTAAAGCTTGTACACTTTCCTGATGAATACTGCATACATTCCTTGGCACAACCGCGTGGAGTGCTCCAAGATGAAACAATGTGAGGCTTTACTGGGTGCTTGGCCTTTGCAATCAGCTTACCCAGCCTTTCAGCTTGATAATAAACAAAAAATGGATTGAAGTAGTTAATAACCATTTGTATTATATTGTACTGTATTTGTTATCACCTTTATTGTACTCATAATAGTGTTACTCGTACGTAGGCTATTCTTACTGCATGTTGGTATAACAGTTAAATTTGAGCTTACATGTAAATTGGTTTAGTATGTCATTATCAAATTCATCATCTTTGTGTTCAATTGATGATGCCTTATCAGCTGCAACGATATGCCAAGGAACCACTTGATCACCAAATATACCATTGCCATATCCAATGGCAAGCTAGAATGTACCAAAATCATTAGAATACTTGCAATACTTTATCCATGTTTTATTTTACTTATTCAAAACAATGTAACAATGCATACATTACAGGTTGCTTTAATTAATTAAGACATGGTTTTCACGTAGCTGTATATAGGGTGTCTCAAAAAATGTACCCAAACGTATATCAATACCATAGACAAACCAATCAATATTTTCAGACTTTTTTTGCATGGTCTTGTCGATAAAAGATGAAAGTTTTTTCCCTATACACAGTTTTTAATTCAGTTTTGCCTTTTTGATACTATTACCCATTACTTTTACACCACATATTCAACGTAACCTCATATTTCGATGAAAGTCTGTATCCTTGTAACATTGTTCATCAGATTTGATATTTCTGGAATGTTTTGATTTCTGTTCGGATGCTGGTCTTAAGTTGTTCTTGGTCTCTTAGCTTGGGTTTAGCATAAAAATGGTCCTTCAAATAGCCTCAGGGAAAAAGGTATGGGCCATCAAATATGGTGAATAGGGAGGCCCTCACAATGTCTTATAGCCCCCTTATAAAGAGAGGTCAGAGGTACAAGAAACTGCATTGGTTGGGATTCTAGTGTAGCTTTTATTGAGTATCAATTTGAGACCACTGTGTTTTCATTTTGATATCGTTTGGTCTCCGGGCTAGCCTGCCTAACTCTGGAAGGTAACTCCCGAATCATTTGCCGATAATTGACCTGATTATCTGTGTTTGTTCTGCCATCGTCATCCTCAAACATCTTTCTCTGTGGCTATTTGAAGGAGTGTTTTAATGCTCATTTCAAACAAAAAGACCTAGAACAACTTAAGGGCAACATCCAAAGAAAAATCCAAAACATTCCACCGGAATTATTATCAAATGTGATGAACAATGTAGCAGTAAGGATACAGGCTGTCATCGAAATATGAGGTTACGTCGATTATGTGGTGTAAAAGGTAAGCGGATATTGCATTAAAAAGACGAGACTGAAATAAAAATGGTGTATTGGGGAGAAAACGTTCATGTGTTGGCTACATGACCATGGAAAAAATGACTGAACAGATTGATTGGTTTATCTGTGCTCTTGATATACTTTGGGGTACACCTGTATATCAAGAATTAGAAAATAAGTAAAATATGGTAATTGCTGGAAATAGGTGGAGGGGAAGAGATAAGTATACAAGTCAGATTTTCGAAACGATAAGACATTTAGATTTCGCAAAACATATATAACGCATTCATAAATATCTCATATTCATAAATTATGAAGTGTATGTACTAAATCATTATTTGTTGATTGGCTATATCCATTCATAAGGATCCGTCGCTTATAAAACGTTGTTTGTAATGGGTGAATCCTTATCTTGCTTAGACATTGTTATTAATAAGGAATCATTGTGATGCTTGGGATACAGTCATGACTATCCCATCATCTATATATTAATGAGGATTAATAAAAATTTATGACAAAATGTACATTTCTACGTATTTTAGTACATCTTTTTGCGAAACACCAAATTTCAATTCACTTATACATATAACATTCAGCTATATGACGTATAAACATATAAGTTATATTTTCATCACTTATGAGCAAAATCTCTAATAACTAGATGGGTGAAATTTAACAAGTTCAATTTAAGACTCCAGATTCGGGTTTTTTATTCAAAAAAAATATTTTGACATCTGATATTGATGAGAAATTGAGAAAGAAAATGTTTATGTTCGTCACAACTTTAAAAGCAAAATTTGCAAAAGTTAAAGAGAGAATCAGAGATAGCGAGCAGGCTAAACACAAAATTGTTTCAATTTTAGAATATTTTTGGCTCATGTCATTCCTTGTCATGTCTATTTTATAAAAATCACAAAAGTGCATACTTTATTCAAGGATAACAAAAGATTTTTACAATAATGTATTATTTTTCTATAAGAATGGTTACCATTCTTATTATTTGGGAGAATTTAAACATTTTTCACCCATTTTAGCACTTTGAATCGTCAATAACTTCACCAATTTATAACATATTGTGAATCTTTTGGGAGATATTGTATTTGATATTGTAAGGAATAGATTGGTAGGTCAATTATGCACGTTGCTTGTAATTTTGTCACCCCCTATACATCTGATTCTGCCTTTAAGTAATCTCAAAAATAACAGAATTGGCCTAGATTTTGACCTTGACCCTTATCACTCAAAATTTTACTGAATTTCGATGATTTGCTATTGATTACCGTTGACTTAACATCAGGTTGCCACATTGGTGGCAGTGGCGGTAAGGATTTCTTGAGATTTCAAAAGGCCATAGCCCCTGAACCGTTGTGAAACAAATGATTTTCCCCCAGGGATTGTGGTCCCCTTTCTTAACGGCCCTACTGGCCCTGATTGTGTATAAGATAATGAGGGAAAGAGTTGTATTTAGGTCACCATATAAATCAATGAAGAGTATGACCATAATTTGATAGGACCTCCTACCCTTTTACACTGGATGTCTGGTTTCAATTTTGTTTTCAGATTCGGAATCCTGAGAAAATTTCCTATTAAATTCTGATTTTGACTTCTGTTATTAATGAAAAATGAGAAAATTATCGGTCCCATAGACAGGACATCAGGGTATCATCATATCATTTTTTCGAAATTTCAAAATGTGTTTACTCCTGAACCGGAAGTCCGACCACAATTTTGTTTTCAGATTCGGAATCTTGAGGACATTTCCCATTAGATTATTACGAATTTTGATAGATTTTGAACATTTTAAAATTATATTTTTTAAGTCAAATTTCTCAAAACTGATAATTTTTTATCAAGACATATATTTAGCAAAATGTTTGAAATACTTAGAGGAACCTAGAGAATGATTTATTAAAATAAATATCGACGATAAAAAAAGAAAATTGAATATATTTGAAATTAAAAAATTGACCTAAAATTTGACCTTCGACCTAGATAAAAATTTGACCTAATTTCCGAGAAACTAGGTCACATGCCATAACTAACCGTATACATATAGTTTTTTTCTAAGCCTTCTAGTTACTGAGAAATCGTGTAGATAAGAATAATAAGAATTCAGGCCAAAACAATAGACTCCAGATTTTCAATCATTTTCAATCTGGAGTCTAATTAATGGGGAAGGGAGAATATAGTACATACAGCGTGTTGTTTGAGCGGAGAATCATCAACAGCCATTCCCGATGCCCTGAGTATGTGTGGATGACTACTTGAGTGGAAATCAGGAATCATTCTACCTTTGGGTAGAGTCATATCATATGTTGACAGTTTACACTCTATACTGGCACTTGCACCCTGGTTGTTCGAAGCAATTATTAGAAAGTACAATGGTACGCCAGATGTCAAAGGCTGAAAAAAAATATTCCAAAAATGTATGACTTATATTGATTTTTATTTCACATATCCCTCTAATCTACTGTATTTGCCTCTGACTCGTCATGGATCCATGGGTTTTGGAATTGGTGACCACAGACATTTAATATGGTCGTTTTTTAAATATACATAAGAGAGAGATTGAGAGACTTTATTAACTGATATTTTTAACAGAGTTTTATTAGAATGGAAACTATTCAAAATGGCATATTCCTCTAAAATTTAATTAAGAATTTAATTTCATGTTATTCAAGATCCTTAAGCAATGCATATAAAATCGAAACGGAAACCTGTACGTATAAATGGCCCTGTACAAAAGCATGTAGTTTTCTCACATAAAACAATCGTTTGGTTATGCCGGAGTCATATTTGCTCCAATTCATCGACCGGCGCCTGGCAGATTGAGTATCTTGTTCATAATTCTATTCGGTTTTGAACAAAATACATGCGTGTTAAGTTAAATTAATTAAGAACATGAGTCGTACCATAGATACAATTGTTGAGGAGCCTCCCATGGGTTCGACGGCAACCTCGTCGCAGCCACCTCTATATGTTCCGACGCAATATGTCATGTCAACCTGACTTTCTCCATCTGCTACTCCAACACCTAGTAGAAACGCAGGTTCGGTATGGTCTCTATTTGCGAGTTGTTTAACAGAGCATTCAACTCTCTCTGAAGATCTTTTAAATTCTTTAGGTGCCGGTTGCTGGAATAGCAAAGGAATACATGTAATTTAAACTAGATAACCAAGTGTAACATTTTGCGGGTACTACCATCATATAGCGTGTGGGTACTGCAATTCCCATTTCCCTTGTACATTTCTCCCTTATCACGGGCAGTATTGTTACTTCAATTCCATGGTTAGTTCAATCCTCCTTCTGTTGGATACAATAAATTCCTATTGGTACTGTTATTGACTTTAATATTTTTTTTAATTGGTATTGCAATTCTCCTTACTCCTGCTTACTTCTGGTACTGCATTTTTTAATATATGTTATTTTCCATTCAAAATCATCCCTAGTTAATGCATGTTCGTCACGAAACGTTAAGAAACTGAACTGTAAAAGTAAAGGGAGATTGTCCGCATTTCTTTCGGTTGTCCTGCCGATGAAGCAATGGCGTTCTCTCATGTGCATATCAAAAAACTAGGCGAGTCTCCAGCATTTTAGGAGTCAGAGGGCCACTTGTTAAACATATTTTTCTGAAAGATGACTTTGTTCAGCATCAATTCACATACGTTTGGGTCGTTTTAGTTTGTGGATGAAGGATTCTGGGCATTTTTACCCCCCCCCCCTCCCCTAGAACAATTTTTGAGGGGGTATTATATTATTACTCTATAACATAAATTAAATATTTGCTATTGAATTGATTTCTACTTATTACTGTATGTCACTAGTACAGTGGTTAAGAAATAGATCAGAATTTCTATAATGAGTAGTAATACTTCTTCAACTAGTTTTCTAAAAATGTATATGTTTGATATGTTAATAGACAGGGTGGGCCAAAAAACGCCACTTTTTTCAAGACACTATTACTTTTTTATTTTCAAACCTAAATATACCAAATTTTGCCAGGGATTCTATGTAATAATATAATTTTACAAGTCCTTCAATGTAGATTAGATTTGATCTAAAAGAGGAGTTCAATTGGTCTGTCACCCACTTTGATGATAGATAGTCTTAGTCGCCTTGCTGATATAGCAGTATCAATGAAATGTTGGCTAAGTTTCTTTCAACCTGTCTAAATTGACAGCTTTAGTTGAGTAATTTTTTTAGATTGGGTGCCTTCTCCTCGAGCCATTCCTATACCCTATGCTCACTGGGGTTTGCATGAGTACTATCAGGTTTATGGTCATCAGGCCGTATCAGTTCAGGAATAATTTGCATATTATGTTCATTTCTCATGGCACACCACATGTTTAACTGAGACTCTAGTGAAAAATTTGATTCAAGTAAAAGTCTATAATTCATAATCCTCAAGTTTCATTTACCGCATATCATATAGTTAGTATTATCTTTGCATTTACAATGTTGTATGACATTTGATGAGTTTAAAAGTTGTTTTGGAGCATTTTTCTACAGCCAATTTGTAGGAAGGAAAATATGAAAAAAATGTATTATCTTTTAATTTAAAGTATGGCCTGATTGTATTGCAAACTTCATAATTGTACATTTGATGAGATATACCATTTGTGTCATATAGTGAAATTATTTAGTTTCAATAGAAACAAATGGCCTCTATTGGGATATAATGATATCAGCAAGAAGTCAAAGTGAAACAAGGAATATTACAAAATATTCTCACTATCATTGAACTTGAGCAGCTACCACATGCACCATACAGTCCAGATATGGCCCCATGAGTTTTTTTCTTTTTCCCATATTGAAAGGAAGGTTTAAAGGAAATGTTTTTTACTACGGATGACAATCGGATTGCAAAATTGAAAAAATTATCTCGCATAAAGACTGGTGTTTGCCATATTTGTTTATATAGTTTGATAAAGCATTTGCCATATTAACAGATGTGATGTGATTTGAGCTTTTTTAAATACCGTTCCGAGTAGCAGGGTCCCCATATAAGAACATACAGGGTGACCAGAAATCATCGTGACCATCTGCGCCAGGAAGCACATATGGAGCATGTCCTGAAATAGCCATCAAATAAAAATGGAAGGAGATTGATATTTCACACTTTAACATAATGTTATACATTGACAAATGTACATTTGTGCCCACAAAAGAACCTGATCATGACATTAATGTGGAAGTTAAAGGAAAAACAACGGTCCACTTTTTTCTGGTCACCCTGTATCTCGAAAAGTAAATTAAATAAATTTCTTGTGAAACTTATACATACATTTGTTAAGATCTTGATCTTTATTATCTGAAAGTCTCATGTAATTTTATTAAAAAATAGCAAAGTTAGAGCGAGGCGTTCGAGACCTTTGGATTAGCCCTCGTATAGCGTAATTATTTGGATATTTACAAATCAATTCCTCCGCTCAGGGAAACGAAGACACTTTCTCAGAGAAAAGCAGACGGTACGTAGCTTTCTGAAGCATGAAACGAACACATATACTTTGTTCGTTTCATAAGCGAGAAAATTTATTTGTAAATATCAAAACAATTACGCAATGTTTATTTGAGGTGAAATCATATTTCGAAACCGGAATGTACGCACTACATACGTGCCAAATATTTAATTGAAATATGGAGGAAAAAAGCAATCAAATCAAGAAAACCCCAAATTTTACCAAATTTTGCTAACGGAAGTCCGGACATGCTGAAACTTTCCATAGCAATTATTGATAATATAAAAAACATTACATGTCGTTGTTTTATTTACCGCATATACACTGAAGTCTGGAGGCGAATCATCCATTTCTGGATCATTGATTTGGAAAATATTCTTCTTAATTACAGGAGTTGTGTACTCCCATAAATTGATGAAGAAGATTTCAATATCGCCAGGTCCAGGTAACCAACCATACAGACCAGTTGTTAATTCAAGACGCAGTGGGATAAGTTCCAAATCCATTCGCATACTGCAAAAAAAATAAACTATAAAAATATTGAGTTCCAGCTCTTTAGCAGTCTCACACATATATGCCAGTACGCTGAGTAATGATAGTTAATTTAATATGATATTTATATACCTTGCGTCCAAAGGGAATTTGCTGAATCCAATCCCTGCTCTAGTTGGGAATGACGTTGTCATTAAATTTCCCTTAATCTTCACCTCAGCTCGAAGTACTTTGACACCAACGCCAACAGAGCCTGTAACTGTCGCTCCCAACATTGGTGTTACTCCTCCCTATGTAAATACAAATATCGATCCGCTTCAATTCTGAGCACAAAATAACTATGAACACATAAGTAGGATTAAAACCACTCTGGCTCATGCGGGAGTCCAATGTTATCGAAATGAGACATTACAAATGATCAAGAGTATTAGTGTAGTTGTATGCCTATCTATTTAGGTTTCTGCGTCATTTTAGTATGCTATGTGAAATAAAAACTCATAAAAATTCATCAGGTATACCTATTAATGAGTATATGCTAAACAGTGTTAACTAAAAGCTACAACTAGACATTTTGTCTACGTTTTGAGATATTTGGTAATTAAGTTCAAGAGATAAATCACATGTAAGCAGACTGTTATAAGTCGAGTGTATACGAAACGACACGGTTTCCATGAGGCACCAATAAAGAGGGGGGGTGTATAGGGGGTCTTGGAAACCATATACAATATTTTTCAGCTCTCTTACACCATATACAATATTTTTTACATCTCTCATACCATATACAATATTTGACAAAAGTTTCAGTGAAATACACTACACGATAATTCTGAAATTGCTGTTGGTCGAATATTTGATATTTATAAGGAAATAAGATTAGGCGAGAGTCCATGTACTACAGTAAAGGTATTATTATAAGGCAAATAGACTCCACAGTACATACTTACCCCAATGATTGCATTTATTACATTATGACTGAGACACCATTCCGGTACATCCGCATGTTCAGAAATTCTGTGACCACTTTTTATTTTGAGGTAAACAAGTTGATTTAAAACATATTTATGGTATAAGATTCTTGACTTCTCTTTAGTGATTGCACAATCTACTTTGACCAAAACATTAACTTAACATTTCTGCAATTGGTTAAAGCCAGTATCTGTAAAAGTGCCATAAAGATATTTAAAATTACCTCTTTCTCATGACCTACTTTCCCATGACTTATTTTAATGCCAATGGAATCCTTCATAGGGAGTCAGGGAACATTATTGGTGCAAAATCGTGTGTTCTTTGAAAATAAAGTTTGCTGAGGTAAACATGTACATTATATAACACTATCGGGAAGATAGGGAGGATTCATGATGCACAATTATTTTGTAAGACAGTCACCTTGAAAATATCAAGTATTGAAAACGGTTTCGGAAACAATTATTAAAGGACTTCACAAACTTCCAGATTGAAAGTACTAGAAAATGATAATTTTATACATCGGCTGCATAGAACGCTTACAATGTTGAATAGTTTTGATGAGGCAAAATTGTGAAATGTAGGATTCATACATTTGCAGCGCTGCACGTTTTATATAAATTGTATAATCCTGAAGATAAATGGAAGTGTCGTAAGTCGTTACTTGGAGTAGTCGGATTCAGACACGAATGATAAAATATGTTGACGACATGATACATATTATATGAATGTCCACTCCCCTCCATAAGTTTGGCAACCTTAGCCCCCATTGAACTACGTGTTAAAGCCTCTTTACCTTTGAATTTTAATTTACTTAACCTGCGATGGAAATACGTATACTATCAATGGAAACGTAATTTGGCGTATGTCCATTACCTCCAAATTTTCCCATTTTTTCCTCCATTACAATAGGTCGAAAATTGATGATAGATTTGATGAATTTTTGAAAATCGACACTCCCATGTTAACCAATGGGAAATGGTAGGTTTGCTGCAAGTCATATGACAGAATATCCATCCATCCGAGTCATTGCAAAATAATGAAAAAATACGAGTTAGGTAGGCAATTGAATTGGCTAACTTTATTTTTTTTTAAATTGATACGTTTTTCAGGTTTTACAAAGTTATAGGGCTTTAAAGTCAAAATTGTTTTTCAAAAAACCTCTCCCATTGAAATAACACAGGAGGCGAAAAATGATTTTCAAAAAATGACTTTGAAGCTCTGTAACTTTAGTATTCATCAAGTTAACTAAACACTTAGTGTACAAAAAAGTTTAAAAATTCAATTTCTATATAAAAATATATTTTTGCTGAATCTTTTACTGGATAGATATCCTGATTTCTAATTTGCCCCGAACCCACCATTTCCCATTGGTTTACATGGGAATGACGATTTTCAAAAATTCATCAAATTCCATCAATACTATAAGTTATTTCATTGCAGGTTAAGTAAATAAAAATTCAAAGGTAAAGAGACTTTAACACGTAGTTCAATGGGGGAGCTAAGGTTGCCAAACTTATGAAATAAATCGAACATTCTGGGACTGAGAAATTCCAAACAATAGACTAGATGCGAGTAGACATAATCTTGATGTACGTCATTAAATATTCAAAACTCAGTCAAAGTGATGTCATATTTGAAATCTACATGTAAAAGTACATCTAGAAATATGGTTTCGAAAATTGTTTATCAACTTTGAAAAATAATTTTTTTTGAAAGTTTGACTTCTTGTTCGGGTTGAGTCCCCATATACCCAATGTTACAAAATCACAAAAAGTGAAATATCTTTTCTTGTATTGGACAGATAACATTTTCTTTTACTGGACATATTTCAATTTGCATAACTATTAGATACATAAGGGTGATATGAAATTGAACCACTAAAACGAATTTAAAGGGAACTTTCTGCTATACCCGCCATGCTATCTGACCCGATCGAGCCACCTGGTGGTGAAATTGGTAAACACCTACTCGCATCTTCGTTATTGAAACGCAAATAGGAGACATTACAATGAAAGTTGGAATATTGTGAAAAGAAATATGTAAAAAGCATTTTTGTGAACTACACATCCAACATACCGTTTGCGTATTTAATATTCTTTAAACTATTTGAAACCAGAATTTGATTTGATTTAGTTCTGGGACTGCGATATTCAATACAACGCACATATAGCAAAGATGGCACTGTTCATTGACTTCATGTAACACAAACATGTATCCATGCGGTTTCAATCTGGTTTGCTTTGTCAGAAAGGTGATTAATTATGTGAAGACAAAATGTAGATTGCATAATTAATCCTGACATTTAACTATTGCAAGTAACATGCTGTGAGGTCCGAACGGATACGGAAAACATGGTTAAAGCTAAGTTAAATTGCATATCATTACGTCAAGTTGCGAGGGTGTATTCATATATTAATTAATTATGGTGTGTTACTTTGTTTAATGCAGATGGTATCTTATGTATTTATTAATAAACGAAGATAGTAAAAGGCCCAAATCAAATTCGAAAACGTATTTATCAATTTACCTATGTAAAGCCAGATTTTCTCCCCATTTTTTAGCAATCCCGATTTTCTTCTGATTTAGTTTTTGTAACCCCGATTTTTCTCCCGATTTTTTCAGAAATCCCGATTTTCTCCAAATTTTTTCAGGAAAGGTCACAATTTTCACCCCGATTCTATTTTTAAAAAATCCCAACTTCTCCTGCAGATACATATCCAGGTACATGTATGCGTTCAAAGAAACTTAAGGATAGGCATATTTTATCATTTAAATACTTAAGCTAATACTGACTTCAATTTTTTTGTCACATGTTTGAATATAAATGGTAAAATTGTTCATTTGTCCGAGATTTACTATTTTTCCTAGAAAGTCTGATCAACAATAACACATCCATTATGTTAACTAAATCTGCTACAATCTTTGATAACTGTTTAACCAATGTCTAGTACAGGTTTATATCAGTATCTAGTCACTATGGTAATATTGTTACACTGTATTAATTATTTATTAAACAAATGTTCTATGCATCCGCCTTTCACCTTCACAATCACATGGAGACGAGAACTGAACTGGTCAAAGGCGAGATCCAGCAGCTCTTGTGGTAGTCGTCTCCACTTATCCTGCAGAACTTCTTATAGTTGATCAATAATTTGTGGGGTATAACTACAATACATTGCTCCAGGTGCCCCCATGTGTGATAGTCCCAGGGGTTGGCATCTGGTGTATTGGGTGGCCATTCGACTCAGGACTAATCTTCTTCAAAAGGGACATCTTTCAAGAATGGGGGCTCTTTCAAACCCAAGTGATTATATATTCCAGCAGGATAGTGCTCCTGACCATACGCCAAAAGTCACTATGGAATATCTGGAGCAAAATACCCCTTGATTCATTAGTCCTGATGAACAGCCCCCCAATACACCACTTAACAAAGATTGCATCAGCTTTAGTGAACATAATAAATGTTCTATCGATGATCACATAAAATTATAGAAAATCACATTTTCTAGGAAAATCGGTAAATCTCGGACACATGAACAATTTACCATTAATATTCAAACATCTGACAAAAAATGTGTAGTCAGAATGAGCTGAAGTATTTGAATGATAAAATATGCCTATCCTTAAGTTTCTGTAAAAATTTTTTTTATGTCAATACCATTTATGATACTTTTTTTGCCTTCTAAAAAGGTTGCAAAATTTTTAGGCCCATCCTGTACTTGTGAATCACAAATATAAATATATTATGCGAAAATATTAGATATTGGATATAAGAGATTTTGCACATAAGTAAAACTTATACGTATACTTTAAAGGGTCTTGTCGAACTGTATACATCAGTATACCTTATCAGCCTTCGGCCCATAAGGGCCACATATAGGGACACAATGTCTCCCGGGTACTGTTCTCGACCGTTATATGATTATAACAAGCCGGACTCATGGTTCTTCAGTTATTTTCTGATTTCACATTTAGAGGAAGGCGAATCAGAATGGCATAATGCGTACATCTTACCGTTACTTTCATCGATAGAAGGCAAAATCCGCAAGTGAAACGAACTCCTACAGAACCTCCTGCCGTAAATCCTTAATAAATACAGTTACACAATTTCACGTCAATCAATTGCATGAATATACGATCACATCGATTAATGATATATGATATCAGTAAAATATCTCAAAAGCGTATCAGTTTATGTTCAAAGGATTATGCCAGTTTATCAATGTATGTATCAATATATATCGGGTGTCCCAAAAAATGAGACACTTTTTGCCAAGTATTTTCTCGGCAACTATTACACCGAATTCACTTAAAATGTGTCCAAAGCAGCCAAAGAGTATCATTAGCAAGTTGTGAAAATATAAAAAAGATCAAGTTAATATTACGTGAGTACTAAGAAATTCAAAATAGCATGTCAAAAATCCCCATACCAGAGCTCTTCGATGAGACCTCTATAGTGTTTGTACCAGCTATTAGGTGATAGCATCTGTTAATAAGTCAAAATAGTTTGTCTGTGTGTCATGTCTACTTAATCCATTTCATTCTTCCAAAATGTCCTAAATCAATTGATTCCTAAAAATTCATTGGAGGTGATATTGTTACAATAAATACGGAAAGGTATTTTACTAGGAAATGGATTAATAAGGGACTTTTACATTGATATTGGTTATTTTGACATACTGTTTTCAATTCAAAATACACACATTATATGAGGCCAATCTTTTACATATTTATAGCACTAGCAGAAGATAGCCTAAAGTGCCTCAAGTACAGTTTTCAAATAATTTGACTTATTTATTGCTGAGAAATAACTTGTCAATTGCTTCCCATTTTTGGCACAAATGCTATGAAATTCTCATTGCATTGCTCCGGTATAGGATATTTTGACATGCTATCTTGAATTTCTTAGCACTCGCGTAACATTTACCTGGTCTTTTTCATATTTCTGTAACTTGCTAACGATACTCCTAGGCTACTTTGTACAAATTTGGTTCATTGGTTGCCGAGAAAATACTTGTCAAAAAGTGTCTCATTTTTTGGGACACCCGATATATAGTGAAATTATTAAAGAAAATAATAAAACTAAGAAGAAATTCAGTAATTACTAGTTTCATTCTAAATCTTCAGATAACTGTGATATACGAGGGGTGATCAGGAATTTCTGGACCGTTGGCTCTATTTTTGCCATTTTTTATCCGTTCTAAGTGATTTTTTCACACAATATAACTCAAATATATAGGATCACACCATGAAGATTTCACTGTTCTATGAAATCATTATCCTTCTATTTTTGTTACCATGGTAATCGGTGACGCGACAAGGTGGATCTCAGAAAAAATACCAAATTTGAAAAATCAACAGTAGTTTAATATGCCATTTTTGACACTGTATTCATTGCTGAATATGTTACAAACATAGTGACATGAAGTAGGTTGTATTATATCATTAAGTATATTCATTAATGTTCATAGTAACTGTCATTATTCTTCCATCAATTCTAATCCTCCAAAGTAGTTACCAGCATTTTGTGAGCACTTGTTATGACTCTTCTACCATTCCTGAAAGACGTGATATAGACCGTCTTTGCCTACAAAGTGAGATTGTTTCCATCGGCTGTGGCCGTGTACCACAGGCACCAAATTCCCCAGACTTAGCTGGCTGTGATTTTTATCTTTTCCCAACAGTGAAGACCAAATTATGAGGTATCCACTTTGAGGACAGTAATGAGATCATTCAGGAATTCACACACCAATGTTACAAAGTAGGCAAAGACAGTCTGTATCACGTCTTTCAGGACTGGCTGAAAAGGCATAACAAATACTTACAAAGTACTGGTAACTACTTTGAAGGATAAGAATTGATGGGAGAATAATGACAGTTACTAATAGATGAGCATTAATGAATATACTTAATGAAATGATACAACCTATATAGTATGTCACATATTCAGCAATGAATACAGTGTCCAAACATCATATAAAATGACTGTTGTTTTTCAAATTTGGTATTTTTTCTGAGCTCCACTTTGCCGCGTCACCAGTTACCATGGTAACAAAAATAATTGGATAATGATGTCATAGAACAATGAAATTTTCATGATGTGATCCTATATATTTGGGTTATATTATGTGAAAAAATCAGTAAAAAGGATAAAAAATGTCAAAAATAGAGCCATCGGTCCAGAAATTCCTGATCGCCCCTCATATATTTTAGTTTTTGTAACCCATATTTTTTTAATATACGTATACAGGGTGGTCGAAAAAAGTGAACCCCAGGCAACAGGCTATATTTTCCTTAATACATGCATGAATTGGCTCATATTATCACATCTTGTAGAGAAATGTCTTAAAATTGTGTTGATTGCTGATATTCGTTAAGGGTCATGTTACCTACACAAACGGTTGGATGGGGGCAAATTTACCCCCTGTGACCCAAAATCTGAGAAGCCCTTCATATAAATATATTTCAAAACCAAAAGGAAATCCGAAATTTGATGTTTTTAGCCGTATTTTATTTCAATTGGTCCATAATAAATGAAGATATTGACATTTTAAGACCATATAGGCGTATGTTGCGATTTCACTGGAAGATGTTTTTGTCTTTGGAAACTTAGACTATTGCTTTGAACCACAATAACTTTGCAACTAACGGAGGTAGGTTGGATGCTAATTTTTGCACCATAATATGCAGAATTCAAAACCAAACAAAGGCAAAAACATTAGGTTTTTCAGACTACGGTTAAAAAGAATTTCACAGGAAGATTGTTTATAGCGGGTTGAAGAATTGCAAATATTGAAGTTCAAATTTTATTGAGTTTCAGTGATGTTTGGTTAGGGCCTATAATTTCTGCAAATTTCAAGATTTCGAAAAATGAATGGTACCAACAAAAATGTTAGACCTTCCTCTACAATATGTGGAAATATGAAAAGAATCCTGCAGGCAATAAGGGAAATATAGCTTATAGCCTGTTGCAACAATTCACTTTTTTTTACCACCCTGTATATGTATTACATACCTTGCGAAACATTTGTATGGAAGTCAACGGACCATATCCACCGATATTGTCCGACTACACCGATAAAGCTCCCTTGCCTCGTTTTGATATTACATTTCTTTAATCACCATGACAATACCAAGATGTCATGTTTTATTTCGATCAAATTCTACTCGCACACAGATGTGTGACGTCATGGATACGAAGTAGCCATGGGGATAAAGGTATGTAATACATCAGTTATGTCACTATGCAGGAAATATGCCTTCGTTCTTGCCCAAATTCAGAGCATCCAAAGGTCGGCTTATATTGGGGCAACTCAGGTAAATTTTACGCAATAGTGACATAACCATATAATAATTGTTACTATATATTTGTATATATACGTTACTTTTAATAACTCTAATGTATAGAGGTTATTTAATGGGAAATTTTAGATACACGGTATATCTGAGACAAATACAACATAATTATCGACCCGACCGTAAGGACCAAGGGTCGATATGTTGTATTTACCGAGGGATATAACTTGTATCAAAAATCAACATTTAATAACTGATTAATTCTATACTTAGTAGATTATGAGGGTTAATATTCAGGCCCCCTGGCTCAGTATCTACTCTCTGAATTTGTGACGTCGTTCATCTGATGAGCGGGTGATATCGTATATATATCACTTCTTCAGATCAATTATATTCCCGCGTGTTATTTTCCTATAACACTACTAAGTATGGAATAAAATATTATACCAATTCATATGAAAGCTCTATATTCACCAAATGTAACTGGAACAGGCCCTACGGTTGTCTGAAAGGATTTATCCAAGAATTGTTTGTTTTTCGGGCCAAACATATGTTCCCCATCGAGGCATACATCAAAGGATTCAAAATCTTCTGTTGATTTCCCATTGATTAGGTTATTAATCGCCTCGCTAAGCTTGAAAATACAATAAACACCGGTATAATCCACGCCCCGTCATAAATTTTGAAATCTTAAGCAATTTACCGATAAAAACACGAGTGTATACGTGATCAATACCTGGGGAAATGGACAAATGGTAAGAATACGTATTACTATCCTTTAATACTTCAGCTTTACATACAAATATGTACGCACAATTAATCAAACGCAAAAAAAGAAAGGAGCAAAAAGTGTTACAGAACCCAGCAAGATGAGACCACAAGAAATCTAAGAAAACAAACCGTCCCGAACAATAATCCAACGTAAAAAGAACAAAGTCTGATATCCCATCCCCCCGCAATGTAGGTTCCAAGACCAAAACACCGTATAAATTGATGAGGCACATGGCGTGAACGAGATCACACCATCGAAAGATCTTCGAAAAAAGATGGCCGCCCAAAAGTTAATCAGTTTTAGAACTTGATATCCTCTATCACATACGGATGCAAATTTGGAGAAAAGATAATGAGCAAATTTCCGGAAATGGCGATGGCAAGATTTATCGAAAAACCTTCAAAATGGTTGCGAAAAACAAAATGGCCGCCCAAAAGTTAATCACCTCTAGAACCTGATATATTCTATCATACGTGCGAATTCAATGAGGGGTTTTCCTGTTTAACTTGATATCCTATATCATGCGTGCGAATTTCGAGAAAATTCGATGAGCGGTTTTCGTGAAATGGCGATAACAAGATTTATCGTAAAACATTCAAATGGCCACCAGAAAACAAGATGGCCGCCCAAAAGTTAAACAGCTCTAGAACTTGATATCCTCTATTATGAGTGCGAATTTCGTGCAAACTCGAAGAGCGGTTTTCCTGTTTAACCTGATATCTATCTATCATGTGTGCGAATTTGTAGACAATCGGATGTGCAATTTTCCTGAAATGGCGATAAGATTTATCGAAAAACCTTCAAAATGGCCGCGAGAAAACAAGATGGCCGCAAAAGTTAATCATCTCTATGAACTTGATATCTCAAATCGTAGGTGCGAATTTCGAGAAAATCATGACGAGCAGTTTTCCTGAAATGGCGATGACAAAATGTATAAAAAAACTTCAAAATGGCCGCAAGAAAACAAGATGGCCACCAAAAAGGTTAATATGCTCTAGAACTTGACATTCTCTGTAATGTATGCGAATTGGGAGAAAATCGATCAATCATTCCTTATGCTACTTAAGTAAAACCAACTCAAGAGAAATGTCATAAACATTGAAATATGATTTTTTTTCTGTGAAACTCAAGGGAGTCAAACTTAATAGTACTTTATTTCACATCCCTCTGGTTATTTCATACCCAAAGCAACAGCAACAACTATTTAGAAAGATTCAAATAATACTTTTTCCAATTCTCATATAACGAGCTCATGATACTTTTCCGGCTTTTGCCTGTAGTCTTAATAGCATATGTAATCAGCAAGGAGATCGATGAAAAGCATCGGCACTTATATAGGTGAATAATTACACACCCCCTCTTCTTTTTATTGCTTGTGTTTTCATCGGAATTCTGCAGTGATTTCAAAAATCAAAATTCATCGAGTGACGCTAACCAAAACCTTCATGACGCCATTACTGTGATTTTTTCGAGAGGGAATTAATAAGAAGCTTAACTCTGTATGTCGTGTATATTGAATATCGGTTATCAAACATTGAATAAAATCAATAAACTTATATTAATAATGTATTATTTTGATAACGGATACATTAAAATACATACCAGGTTCGTATATATTTCTCGGATATCTTTCATTAAGTCGGAGGTGCTACCGCCATCTATTGTTGCTACGATTTTTTCAAGCTCACCCACAGTCATTCCATCAAACGCTAAACAATGCAGAGTCACAATGATTTGCGAAAACGTGCATTCATAAGAACAATTGAAACTGTGCCTCTATAAGATTGTCAATGTGAAAATACAAAATATTGAATTGCAAACTAGAACTCTTACGATCAACTGGTGTTGATGGATCCCGATCCCGATAGTATCCGCATCTTTGAGGGGCTGGCACTTTGATTTCAACCGGATCGAGAACTTCAAGAGAGCCTGTACATTCTTCATGATTCTCTAATGAGCACACGGTGAGGGATAAACTAATCTAAGTTATACAAGTAAAACAGGAATTAACTTTTCGTAGAATGACGCTTTTATAATCTAAGATTGATTATATCAATCAATCTATTTTCACAAAAATTACGAAGATAATAGGGATTTTGTCTTTCGCAAAAAGAGCTTTTGATTTAATCATAGATTTACATGTCATATCGAGCTATTTTTACAAAAAACACCAAGAAATGGAAACTAATGTTTGTTTTCATCAAAAAGCTATATTCAATATGAGTCATTTTTCAGAAATTAGTATTGATACATTACAGGCTCATCTCAATGTACCAAATAACGGTAATATAGTATACTTTGTGGTAATATACTCATATTCCTAAATCCAAAACTGTTATCCTTACATTAATGGTCACATTTGAGTTTATCATGCATTTGTGTAAATTGAATACCTTTATAGTATTGCTAATTTTGGAAATATCCATGTCCACTTTTAACTGTGTTACAGCAATGCTATCGTGATTCCCAGTTATCATTTCTTTCACATGAGTACCACCTAATAGAAAAAACATGACAAAATGAGGAGTTTTCAGACTGTTAACTAGTCGGACGGTAGTATTGCAGAGACATGTCATGTGTGTCACAACTTAAAACATTAACATCTAAACAAGTTCAATTGACTCGGATGAAGCAGGCAAACATATTTTTAAAAAGAACAGTACTAAAAACCTGTATCATAGCCACTGATGGAATATTCATATCTCCAGTCGTTGATCTCTACCGTTAAAACTTTTCCACATGGGTTTACACTTAGAGCAACTCTAGATACAACGTGACCATAGAATACTGGCATATCTACACAACAGAACAAACTAATGCAATCTGGAGAAACGGTGCAATAGGTGTGAGTAGAATTTCGCAGGAGGAGATCTGGACAGCCTAAAGTAAAAGATGAAGATTTCAGTAAAACGTGTTTGAAATCATATAATCAAGTCAGATAATTAGCATTTACATAATATTATCCCTTTGACTACACGAGTCAAACGCATACTTTTTTGATTAAGTATGGCACAATATAATTCAGATTTTTCCATATTACTTTATTAATTGTGTTTTGTAGTTGTGAATTCATAAATGGTTTCGTTTATACACATTCGATTTACCATTTTCCACTTGATAAATACGGTCAAGTAACATCTCTCTCGAACCTTCAGATGGTTTGCCTTGCAATATCAGCAAGTATTGTAGCTCACTGTTGTCAAGCTCTACCGGCCTAGCACATCCGTGTATATCAAAAATGCCACTCTGCAAATAAATTTGTTTCAGAATGCACCTCTCAAGCAGTCGTATTAGCAAATAGTGGGTCGATACACCTGTAGCTCCAACAAATCAGCAATTTAATTATCAAATAATTCAACAATTATTTTCACTGTCTCGAGGTTTTCAGATTTTATCGACTTTTAGCAACGGCTTTACAGGTATAATTTTATAACACGACAAGAAGTTAAGTTGTATGCAAATTCATTTCCTTGCTCGATGGAATCATTAAGAAGGCTAGGAAAACAGTGAGGAATGGAGCTGTTTTAAGACGACATACCCTCCTGCTTTCGATTAATTTGTATATTTTTTCTCCCATCGCTTTATTATTTGAACTTTCAAGAAACTTCATAATGTGTGTCATCTGTAAATCTCTCACACTGAATGTGAAGATATCTGGTCCAAACTCCGTAATATTTGGTACGCCCATTCGTGCCAGCAAGGGACCGAACGTTTTGTTCGCACTCATATTCAGAATATTTCCAAATTTTGGGAAGCTTCTTTTCCGTCTGCCTCGGTGAATTAACGCTAGGAATAAATAAAGTTAAAATACTTAGAAATATGTTGATATTATAAATTACCCTCGGAGGAAACAGTAGTACATCGGGCCTTAAACTTAACTACATGAACATAATTTTGCGTGACGTCATTGAATGACTGATCAAACCTTTGCCATATATCGAGTGTCCCAAAAAGTGAGACACTCAGCAATTGATACGCCAAATTCACTGAACAGAGTAGCCCAGGAATATCGTAAATAAGATATTAGAATATAATAAAAAATATCAAATAACTATGCAAGAACTGAGAAATCCCATATGCGTGTACTAAAAATGGGAAGCAATTTGACAAGTAATTTCTCAGCAATAGATGAGACAAATTCTTTGAAAACTATACTTGAGACACTTCAGGATATTTTCAGCAATTGCCCTGAATATGTAAGAGATTAAATATTACTTGATTACATTGTTGAATTAATCACATTATGTCAAAATAATCAATATCAATGTAAAAATCACATATTAATCCATTTCCGAGCAAAATACCTTTACGTATTTTTTAACAATATCACATCCAATGAATTTTAAGAGTGAATTGATTTTGGATATTTGGGAACAATGAAACGAACCAATTCGACACGCCAAGGTTGGAGAACCATAAGTAAAGTTATTTGAAAACGTCGAATTGACTATTTTATATATCTAAAAAGTGGGTTAAAACCAGGTTCTCTCCCATCAACATACTTTTAACACAATTTCATGATAAGTTGTCACATAATGTTAAATGTTCATGGCCTGACTTTTTAAATGTAGATAACATTTTGATCAAGCACGATTTAGATAGAAACATTCATGTTGAGAACACCGACTGATATCAATGATATCTTAAAATATCTCCATCGCAGAGAAATATTCTCTTGTTCTGTACAGCTCCTTAAAAACAAATTGTTTTCAAGAAAACTACCTTAAGACTGATTTTGACTTTTATGTTCAGAAACTGAAATTCAAGGCAAAATCAGGGTGATTTGGTCTGAATACTGACAAGGAGTGATGGGGCCAAGGGAACGGTTTTTGCAATCTATATGACACGAATGTCAAGGACTCTATCCAGCACCTTATGTTTGTTTGTCCACATTTCGAAAATGAAATCAAACTTTATTCTGAATGTTATTAATTATTCTTGAATTGAAAAATTGTCATCTAGCCCTAATTTCTGCTAATATTCCGATTAAAATATGCTTGACCATGGATGACAAAGCTTTCATCGACTGGGAAAATGGCCAAGGTCATGTTTTAAATAAATGTGTTCAGAAATATCTGAAGGTAACATATTTTCCCTAAAATAAGGATTATTTATCTTTGTGGCAATTATTATGTATTTTAATTTGGACTGTACATAATTATATTTAGCATATTTGTTTAAAATATACTGTTTTAAAAGTGATTCCAATAAATAAATTAAATGAATATAGAATACATTTTCAGTGAATTTGGTTAAGCAATTGCGGAGAACATACTTGCCAAAAAGTGTCTCACTTTTGGGACACCCGATATAGTTTCCTTCTGATGATTCATTTTTAAATGACGGTATGTAACGAAGTGACACTTATGGATTTTGAGACTGGGCTATTTTATCAATCAAGTGTATCAGCACCTTCTTATCTACTAGCATCCGGAACTATTTTTTCTTGTTTTATCTTAAAACAAAGTCTTGCATATACCAGGTCATTCGACAAGGGAGTGAAAAAATGCTGCTCTCATCTCAAAGAATTTTTACAATTTTTATTTGAAGTTTTCTTATTATTAGTTTTCTGAAAATTTAATACAAGCTATATAGGGACGGTCTAACAACTTGAAATCTGTGGAAAATGGAAGGCAGTTTTGAAAAATGGGAGCCCAGTCTTTCTAATCGGAAAGGAGTGGTATCGATATGGAGAACTTTTTGAACACACGTTTCTCTTAAACTAGTCATTAAAAAAATCTAAAAATTTGACACATCGTCAATTTAATGGCCATCTTTTGAATGGTAACAATATAATTTGAAAAATATATATACTTTCATCTATATTGTTTTAGAAAACACAACAAAAACACTTATTTTGTTCTTGCTATCATGTTTCCAGAGTGAAATGAAACATCTTTCCGAACCTCATTGGAACAAAAGGCCTCTCAATATTGTAATTGTACAAAGGAAATTTTGGTTGATTTTAAAAAAGTATCATGTTCAGGAAATAAAGGTTTATCTTGAATTTTATCTATTTTTGGGGGATTTTGTTTTAAGTTTTTGAATACTTTTTTAAAATCAACCAAAAATTCCTTTGTATAACTATAATATTGAGAAGTCTAAAAACATGTTGTATATGCTATTTTGTTCCAACAAGGTTCGGAAAGACATTTTGGTAGAACGGAGCAAAAAAATTGCACTTAAAGAACACAAAATGTTAACAAAAACAGTTATATAAAATATTTCTAAATAATTTTCGCATTAAATTGTTGTCAATCAGTCAACATTCCGTAAAATACCGTGTTTTTACAGAATGTTTTCAATGATTGGTTTAAGAGAATAACATTGTTAAATTCAGTTCTCCATATCGATACCACTCCTTTATAAACGTGATCATTCTCTATCGATGTTGACCGTCAGAATCGCAATTTACTGGGTTAAAGTGACTTTTTAGAAAGAAATCAAAACACATAGGTTAGGGTGTTGTCTCATTCATTGTAAAAATGCTACAAGTTTCATAATTACACCCAGCATCTTTGGTATCAACTTTAGCCTTTTGTTTTGGAGAAGTATCAATATCCTTTGAACCATTTGTGATGGATCCTTCCGCTATCACCTCTCCCTGAAAGGTATATTATTTGATAGTATGTGATTTTAGTTTAAAAATGCAAAATGGTGCATACTCATTTTGACCATTTGATTCCTACAGCAATGTGTTTGTGATATTATCTACATTTAAATTCATAAGTTGGGCACAAAAATCTGCTGGGTGTTGGAGGGGAATCGATGGTATGAACTTTCCAAATAGCATTTAGCCATGTACAGAAGTGATATATTTCAAATAGATTAGACTTAAATAATATAATGACGTTGTGTGAAAGTGCAGAGTTCTACAAAAGCAACAGTTTAAGATTGAGACGAGGTGAAATGAATATATTCATTTCAGTTGAACAAATACAAACGATCAATCCTCAAAACTTCTTATCTGGTATAAGAGAAAACATCGTGGTATCAATATGAAATCAAAAAGAAAATAATGTTGTACCAAATATTGTAATCATGTATCGACGGTATACTGTTAATAACAAAATAAGAGGGCATCAAATTAATTATTTCAGATTTTTAAAAAAAACATATATTTAAAAATTCAAATTAAATAATAAATAGTACATTGATACAGGGTGATCATTAAGTTCTGGGAATTGGCCTGCCATTTCAAGATTTCTCAACCATTTGAGTAGAAATTTTCAGCAGGTGTACATTGTATAATTCTGAATTGACACACAATGTTTCAAATACATATCACATCTACAATTTATTTTATTGTTATTACAAAAAAAGTAAAAGTGGATCGCGGGTCAGCAAATTTTGACTGATGTTAATCTTCAAGTTTCCTGCAAAACATATTCATCTTGCCTAGATGGTTGCTTCAAACTACTAGTATTAGAGGTAGAACAGTACTCTTGAAGTCATTTATTCAGAAGTATTCTTCATTGCTGAGAGGATCATTTCATTTATGATTGTTTCCATTAGCCTGGACACACATGCATTGTTGACAAACTTAGTCCATAAAGATGTGTTCCATTCCTCCCTGTGGTATCCCTTGAATATTTGCTCAAGCTGTTGAAATCAGTCCCTTATCGGAATGAAACTTATGACCTCTCATATAATGCTTTAGCACCCAAAATGTAGCGAAGCCTAATGGTGCTTCATCTGGTAAATATTGTCTGTTGAATATGGGGCAGTAATAACTTGTGTGAACCCTAATTCTTCAAGAGTAGTATGGGCAGCTTGAGTAATGGGAAGGAGCATAGTCATTATAGAAGATAACCCCCCGCTATTTTGAGTCATGATTGTGACTTTGAGATGCTGATGAATGATACAAAAATAGAGCAAAGTACACTCTTATATAACAATAAAGATGTTACTTTAGAAACTAAAGCTAGAAGTATTGAAAACATAAAAAATCACAGAAATATGTCCACCAAATAGGTTTTTATCAACCATACTTTTGGACCAAGCAAAATATGAATTCATTTTTATTTTACTTGACCCGCTACGCCATTTGTCATGTTGCTATAGTAACAACAATTATGCATTGTGACATCAGATGGCAATGAGACTGATTTTATCCAACCCAAAATTACATTCTCCATTTACCTTGAAAATTTCAAGTAAATTGGTTGAAAAATAATGAAATGACAGATAAATTCCCAGAACTTAGTGATCACCCTGTATAACGGTCGATGTCCAATATGTGATACGTTTAGCTGTGTTTTGCTGTGTCTATTTATAAACAAAAATCAGAATTATACCAAAAATGTTGTGATAAAGAAATGTTTCAATGCAAGTATAATATGACATCGTTCGACATCGCCAATCACAAGTATCCAAGCGATATTGAACATAGGAGATACCACTTACTGTTCTACTACTGTAGACAATATGGTGTTCAATCACAGGGGTTTCAATGATCTGAATTATGCAAGACCTTCACTTGACTGTGATTTTAACATAAGAAAAATATTCTGATTTTTCAGAATTTAATTTTGATTCTCCATTTATAAGTTATGTGACCTATATTCAGTGTGATAACACATATTTTGTTCTTCCTCGACTAATGTGTCTGCAGATTAAACGACTTTGCCTGTACAATGCATATAATTGCAAACCTGTCTCTTCGCCCTCCGCCGATAGATATTGCTCAGTCGCTCATGAAACAACCACCAAGACCTGGTCCAATCTATGAAACTTTGATAGAAATAGTTACCATTATCTTCGAAAATGTGATTATAATCAGCAGTAATGTCAATGAAGAAATAATCATAAGAAAATGTGATGATAGCCAGCAATAATGTCGAGGAAGAAATGCAAGGCGTTCGATTGCACATGCGTCTTATAGATAATTAGACATGCCTTAAGATTATATTAACAATAAAATACTTCTGTCACATTTTATTTGATATAAGTCTTACCAATTTTCATTGCTGTTGTTTGACCCCTGAGGATGAAAGGGATACATTCTGGATAGATATATATATATATATTTGCAATCATAAATTGCCTTAATATTATACAGAATTTTGTTGAATCGAATTGCCCCGTTTTTGAAACACAAAATCTCAAAAGCACACCTGTGTATAAACATGAAAAAACATTGACACTATACATTAAATTAATTAATCGATTTTTATATCATGAAAATCCAATTCATTGTACTTCAATTGGCGCATGTCATAGCTCAATACATTACACTTGTTTACCATGGAGGAAAAGTATTCATTTAATTGGTATGTTTGAAAAAACGTTGACCTCTCATAAAGTACAAAAAATCAAGAAATCAAAAAGAATATGAATCTAAATCAGAAATAAACATTTCAATGCGCAGTTCAAAAGACAAATTTAGAATAAGACAAAAAATAAATTGCAATAGTATTTTGAGTAGCACGTATTACAACTCTCTAATGACGAAAATAATCAGTTCACATATATGCACTATACTTGCAAACACAGTATCATTTTCTGTTGTAGCTTTTAACATATACTGTTCGTATACATATTACAATGGTATTTAGCTACAAACCACGTGTATATTGTATGTGTGTATGTATGAGTGTCACTGGGAAAGGACCAACAATTGTTATGGTTATAAACTGTGTTGAATTAGCGAAAGCATCCAAGAGTACACAAGTCACAATGAAAACAAATCCCGGATATTTCAAAATCACATCAGAGGAAGATGGGCAATCATATTCTCTAGGAATATCTTTTTATGTAAAATTCCTGCTTGTGAAGAGCACACTTATTTTCACACAAGCCCATTGCATTATTTTATATATATACAGAGATATACAAGTCATCATTTTTCAAAACCACAATACATATGGACATCTATATTCCATAATTCAAATTCAAGTACTCACATTGTAGATAAGTAAATTTTTACCCATTCCCCTCCCCCACCTGGCACTTTTATAGACCCAATTTGTGAATATAAAGTAAAGTCATATCACTATCTACATCCAACACGAAATAGTGGTAAAGGTCGGGTGAGTATCAAAAATAGTTCTCATAAAACATAGATATTGAAATAAAAATGAACGCGTTTATAGCGTTGAGCATTGTATTGTTTTCTGAGAGAAAGGGCCAATAGAAAATAAAGATTGATATACATGATTTGACAAACATGGAATCGATGATAATTAAATATTGTGACTCACGAGCCATATCAAATTGTAGTCATCACATGTCTGTACCCATTTTGGTCTCTCCATCTTTCTCTTTTCAAAGTATTTACTCGGATTAATTATGTCCTTGCTTCCTATCTTCTTCAAAGCAAAGTGGATGTGACCATCTCGACAGCGAGACGATTTCTTTACTATTCCAAGCTGTTCATCTTTGTAAACCTGAACGAAATGGTACATAACCACAAAAATGCACTACTCCTTCAATTATAGTAGTAACCAAAATCCCAGATGATCAAGAAAGGTGTCCTGTTGAAGAACAATAATGTTATTATTTGGAGCATTTAGTTTTGATATTTTTCTTCCGATTCCTGTTTTTAAAGTAAATCGCTCGGGTGTTTTTTAGTTATCAGCGATTTCAGCTCTTTACCAATCATATCTTCTTTACCTACCTATACCTATAATGTAGGCATACTTTGACCAAATGGACAAAAAATTGGTATCGATATGGCAAATTGAATTGAACACATGTTTCTCTTAAACCAGCCATCAAAAAAGTTTGAAAAGTTTACACATCGTCAATTTAATGATCATCTTTTGAATGGTAACAGCTTAATTTGAAAAAATATATATTTTTCTCTATATTGTTTTAGAAAACACATCAGACACTTCTATCCGAACCTCATTGGAATAAAACGACGTAAACACAACAAGTTTAGGTCTCTCGAGCTCAATATTGTAATTGTACAAAGAAAATATATTTTATTTCATTCTCAAGAATTGATAGGAAGGGACAATGAAAAAAATCAAACAGTTATAGAAATATATTCAAATCATTTTCACATTAAATTGTTGTCAATCAGTGACCATTTCATAAATGCCCGTGTTTTTTACAGAATGTTTTCGTTAATTATAAGTAGTTAAAAAGAAAAACAATGTTGAATTCAGTTCGCCTTATCGATACCAATCCTTTCAAAGAATTTCGAAAATGTGGTAAAAAGTTAGAAAGGAATAAATAGAACGACTCCCAAAGTAATTTTTGCTGTAAATTGACATCATAAAGGAGTACGTAAAATATGGCACGTCTACTACTTTTTTCAAGGCCTGACTGCGTCGCTAACATGCTAAATATAAGAGTTAGCTGACGTTTGGGAGTCTGACTTACCTTCTAAAGGTTAGAACCCGAATCTTAATGAAACCATATCACCTTTGTTGCGTCGATGATGATGCATAAACATAGCATTTGATAGAAATTAGCGTAAATGCTTTTCCGACTTTTTCATTTTTCATCAATGTTGACGTCCGGGAAGGTGTTGTAGTTATCACGAAATAACGCATTGACCCTTGAACTTTACTTTGTTGACGTGTCAACCAAGCATGTCTGGTGTGAAAATTAAAAGAATATTAAGCAATGTTCTACATCCGCCAAGCTAAGTGAAGTAGTCAATATTTAAAATTACCAATTTCAAGTGAAGTACGCAACGAACGAAACTGCGTGATCTACACTCCTACTATTGGTCTGAATGAAATGCTACGTAGAAATATGAGCCGTCTGCTGTATTAGTCGATTAATAGAGTAAGACCTGTTGGTGATGCTTTATAATTTAGACCAAAACATTGAAGAACAAACGAACCTGTAAATCGTGAAAACAACGAACAAATATTCGGTTTTCACATATGTTCGGTAATTTTTCGTATTGAAACTTCCGGAACTTACAAGGAAATCATTCATTTTCTCGATCCATGATTTACCTCTTGGATGTTGTGGCAATTGCTCCATGGTTGACGGAACAAAGGTGATATGGTTTCATTAAGATTCGGGTTCTAACCTTTAGAAGGTAAGTCAGACTCCAAAACGTCAGCTAACTCTTATATTTAGCATGTTAGCGACGCAGTCAGGCCTTGAAAAAAGTAGTATGTCTTATCTTCAATAAATGACATGAGAATGATAATCAAGTTGATTGGATTATCTCTAAGCTGTCCCTAATCCACCCATCCTCACCAATTTTCCCCAATTCTGACGTTATTTTCACCAAAAAATGCAGGCATTTTTAATCATTTTTAGTTGTATTGATTTTTAAGACTAGATTTTAACTGTAAAGGGGAAAAGTTAATTGTGAACCTACTTTTTGGTAATTTTTTCGTGATTTTTCGTATTATTCTGATAGTGGAGAGTTAAGCTAACGATGTTTTTCACAACGTAACCGTGAACGCAAAGTACAAAAATTAACAAAGGAATGTATCGAGCGCTCATAGTTTTACGCGCGCTTAGTCTACTTTAGATACTCTTTCAGCATCAGAGTTTCGGGTTTAGAACGGGATAATTTGAAATTTGACGTTGGGTCAACGGGAACCATTTTACTCGTGTCTATTGAACACTATGCTGTCAATTTTGATTTCGATGCACAGTTGAATTCTTGCTGAACACGATGATGTATGTCATGCATGATTTAGCGCCAAAAATATGTATTAGAAAACCAGCTATAAAACCGCATCAATGACATACTATAGAATCATTACACGCTATGGTGAAGTCTAAACAAACACTGGATTTGAACGGCTATTTATATGAGAAGGCTACATGAATTTGTATATAGTCGAGTGATACGTACAGGTTAACCTCTCCATTATAAAGTGCTTCATACTAATATTATACAATAGCAAAATAGAGGGCAGCACAGTGTCATAAATAATTTATTTGTTACACTGTTTCAAACACTCGGATAGTTTTTTAGTTTTTTTTTTTAGTTTAAAATAGTTTATTTTTGTGTCACTGACATTACAATATACATATAAAATACATAATAAAAACAACATTTTGTAACATCACCAGCCGGTGCCGACTTATGAGACACAGTATACATTATATCTGAGTGTCACCCATTACTACCCCCAATGGGCAGCTTGGGTCAACACTCATAAAGACAGAGACAAAAAATGTCCCTGGTAAAAATTTATACATGATTAATAACCAATGATATAAATTCAGTCTGATTAATCAGTTTGGCATAAATAAATAAGCAGTTCATGGAATGATATTGTCAATCATTATATTAAATACATATATTGCACTAAATGAGAGTAGCATGTTGCATATGGTCAAAAATTACAATAAATACAAATATCGCACTAAATGTGAATTGTATCATGCATATGGTCGAAGACTGTTATAACAATAAATTCATATATTGCACTTAATGTAAGTAGCATGTTGCACTATGGTCAAATATTACAATAAATATAAACATTGCACTAAATGTGAAATACACAATGCATCGGTTGAAGACAAATATTACAATAAATACATGTATTGCACTAAATGTGAGATGCATATTGCATGATAAATACATATATTGCACTAAATGTAAGTAGTATATTGCATATGGTCAAATATTACAATTAATATGAATATTGCACTAAATGTGAAATACATAATGCATATGTTTGAAGACAAATATTACAATAAATGCATATATTGCACTAAATGTGAGATGCATATTGAATAATAAATACATATATTGCACTAAATGTGATTTGCATGAGCAGTGAATAAATAAAAAAGAGCCCCATAGATAATATACACCTCTGCAGTAGTGAATTGAGACCATCTTCCCCAAGGTTGATAGCTCGAAGCACTAAAAAGAGGCATCATAAAACCAAGGAGTTTCTGACTAGATACATTTTAAATAAATATTTTATAAAGGAAACTTAGGTGACATGCATACTCATTTAGTGATTATAGCCTATCAATATTAAGAGATCTCTTATTGCACATATTATAAACTAAAGCTCCTAATGGTCTTTGGAGTGAAGTACAATTCATAATGGAGACAAAAAGAAGTGTAGAATTGGCTGATGTTACATCTAAATAAGGCAATTTCTGTTTAACATTTTCATAAAAATCACATCTTAGATCATCATAATGGCTACATTCTAATAAGAAATGCTTTTCATCTTCAATACAATTCATGTCACATAACAAGCATTTCCTTTCGTGTAATGGTATACCTGTGTAGCGCTCTGTTTCAATTGCTAAGGGTAAAGTACCAGTTCTGAATCTAGCGAGTGACCTACGGTGATGCTTTGGTAGGGCCAAATACCCTTCCTTGCAAACACCATATTTGTACAGTCTATATTGCCTCAATAGTAGACTTAGTAGACTTAGATAGTGACTTACTCAGAGTTATGGATTGCCTTAATCCTGTATTTTACATTGTATTGTTTGTGTATAAAACATTTCTGTCTGATTCACGTAGAGCTATTTATACAGTGAATAGTGACTGCAGTACACTGACATGTAATTACATGTACCTGATTTTGACTATTCAACCTAGATTTTTGTTTGGGCAGGCTGAAATGAATAAGTGTGAAAATAAAATGAATAACAGGGTTAGACAAAAATGTCATCCAAAGAAATGTTATTAACTCATTTATTCAGTATGAGTTGAAATCAATTTTTTTTGCATTTTACCATGCTTCATCGGTCCATTTCTCATGGTCACAATTATATGGCCATTTTACAAAACATGCTCCAAATTCCAGCCTCGTCGCTTCAGACAGACCTGCACTGGTCGGTTGAGGTTGTAAGTTCACGGTCACAGAACTTTTTCTCCAACTTGTTGTACGTGTTAAAAAAAATTATCTCAGAAATAGCCCGTTGTTAAGAGATGAAGAATTTTTCGTATCCATCGTACACCATGTTTCGTATTGAAGCCATAAAATCCTACCATTTTAGGCAGGGCCAATTAAACTTAGTAATAAAAAGAAAGAACATTAAACAAGGTTTTATTATGCGAAACCAGAGCAACGGCAACGCCAAAGCGTAGCGAATCCCATCGAATAGAAATGGCTGGCATTTTACAAAAAAATATATAGCAAATATCGTAAAATAACACCCATAAGAAAGGCCACCATTTTCAAAATGGCTGCTCACTAGTCAAGCTGTCATCAGAAGAAGTAATATGCTTTTAAGTAGCCACATATAAAATTTTAAAAAAATCACCCACGCATACATGCAAATGCTGGCCATTTTTTAAAATGGCCGCCTGCTACCCAAAATGTCATAAGACAGTGCAATCCGTAAGAGTATTCACATATCAAATATGAACAAAATCGCTCTATTACTTTTTGAATTATAATGAAAAATGTATTTTTGAGTTAAAGTAAAAAAAATGTAAAAATGACAGCCATTTTTTAAAATGGCCACCTACTACGCGAAGTGT